CAAACCAGTCTTATATACTAAAGTCTCGGACACTTAGACACGGTGCAAGGACATTGCCCAAAATACTTTGTACTTGACCAACAGGGTATTTAGACTCATAACCATTAAAAATGTACCTGACCAAAAAGGTATCTTGACTCCAAATCGTAGGTAGGTACTTGACCTAGACTAGACAATCACGGGAAAGTTGGTTATCCACGGATTACTACAAAAGCGGAGCGTGAAATATAAAACCTTAGCTAATACGTTTCAGCTCATTACCACCAAAGTAGGTCAGTACCAGAGAGAAAACTGCCCCATAACTACCTACTACCGAAGGGGCCGTCGGGTAGTCTAGTGGTTAAAGCGTTCGCTCGTCACGCCGAAGACCCGGGTTCGATTCCCGACATGTGTACAATGAGTGAAGCCCATTTCTGGTGTCCCCCGTCGTGATTTTGCTGGAATATTGCTAAAAGCAGCGCAAAACCATACTCACTCACTCACTTACTACCGAAACCTAAAGTTCGACTGACCACCCAGTAGCAATAAGATCCGTATACGGCCTAACGAGTTCTGGCAGTAAGGACACATAATTTCGCTAAGGGATTTAGCCCGTGTGCGCGGACGTCGGAGAGGTCAACCTGTCCCGGTCAGCCGGAGGAGTGCATTCTCCATACATGGATAAGGTAACAAACATATATGAGATAACATATGTCAAATCAATACATGATAAAAGTATGCGATTAAACACCTAGAGAATATAATTTACGGGTCACCAATACTCTAATAATGAATGTACGGACTCTGCCAAACGGTGATGGGTGCCGGAAAGTTAAGAGAGGGGGAAGCGGTATGGTCTCTAGACCGTGACTGGATTGGTTTTACGACCCGGTGACACCCTTTCAAGTGGAATGACTGTGGGAGTTCCATTCAAACGCAGTGGGAAAAATGCTATAATACCCCGCCTCTCTATTAAAGGCAAACCAAGCAAATTCGAAAAATCCGCAAAATTCTAGGGTTGATCCTAGGTCAACACCTCACTTGGAGCAAACATATAGTATATGTTGAAAACTGATGGCATAAAGAGCTGCTCGTATTGCGGCCAATTGCAGGCATATCTTGGGGAACCACCAGGGACACTCAACTGGACCCTACAAATCACATATCAGATCAAAAATAGACTTTGGTTGTGAGGCCTTTCACTCAGCATCAAACACTGTCTTGGGCCATCACGACAGAATCTTATACAAAGCCCTAATGCTAACCACGGGTGCCGCAACATGTACTTCAACAGAAGCACTACAAGTAGAAACGGGGGAACAGCCATTAAAACTAAGAAGAGAGCAGGCAATATTATCGCTCTGTGGACGAACATCAAACCCTTTGGTGAAAAAGATACGCAAGACAAAAACACCCGAGATGAAGCCCTAGCTCGGAAAAAATCCCTCACTAAAACTCATCCGAGGTCACAATTGTTATGACATTCAGCGACCAGAAAGTCACTACAAAGGTTTACACCCTCCCTGGACTTTAACAACTCCCAAAACAGAAAACCCAACCCACTACGATCAGTAGCTATCACTAAAATTGGGCCCATACACAATGATGGAACCAAGAATCCTATCAACAACACGGCTGGTTACGGGATCCATATCCACAGCTCCAAACCCCAAGCACATTCGGTTCGCCCACCTGATGGTCAGTATTCACAGCTAAATTAGGGGGGATTTCGTCATGCACTCAAACTCCAGAAGCAAAGTCAGTCATCCTATCAGACTCGCGGAGTGCATAACAAGCTATCAGCAGCAGAAATACAAACACGTGACAAAACACAATCAATTATATTCTTTACGAATATACAAAACTTTCGGAACAAGGGTAACATGTGGAGCTGTGTTGGATCCCGCCTCACATAGATACACTCTTAAAAAAAAGAAACGCATAGGTAGATTTTTAGTAAATGTATTGTACCTAACAAAGTCGATATATTTAATTTAATATCATAGACTTACAGCAACAACAACATCATGTCAAGCCACAATATATATTCCTTGGCCTGGAATGTTTGTCAATAATGTTTTATGATTAAACTAGTGTAGATATCACATTCTTTTGTTGTCGAATTTAATTAAGGATTGACTGTGTATTTTTGTCGGTTCATTGAGCTGCGCGGATTCATACAGTTTGCACATGGGTTTTTCGATTCATACCTCTATGAACCGAAAGAAATGCACAGCCATTCCCCAAGAGAACTAGACTTTATTCATTTCAACACGTGCATGTTTTGCATATATCAGACTTTTACTCATAGTTCCCCTGAAGTTAAAAAAGAGGCCTGTTCACCCTTTATATTTATGCACTTGATCATACCAGAGTTTAAAACTTTGCAAGTGCAAGGCTTCGTGTCGCCGTGATATTGTTGATATATTGCTAAAAGCGGGGTAAAACCAAACTTACTAACTCACTCATTAGTCCTCCAGGTTAATGTGTAATTGTGAATGTGTCCTCCATGTTAATGTGCGTCATTGTGGATGTGTCCTCCAGGTTAATGTGCGTCATTGTGGATGTGTCCTCCATGTTAATGTGCGTCATTGTGGATGTGTCCTCCAGGTTAATGTGCATCATTGTGGATGTGTCCTCCAGGTATTGTGCGTCATTGTGGATGTGTCCTCCATGTTAATGTGCGTCATTGTGGATGTGTCCTCCATGTTAATGTGTAATTGTGGATGTGTCCTCCATGTTAATGTGCGTCATTGTGGATGTGTCCTCCAGGTTAATGTGTAATTGTGGATGTGTCCTCCATGTTAATGTGTAATTGTGGATGTGTCCTCCAGGTTAATGTGTAATTGTGGATGTGTCCTCCAGGTTAATGTGCGTCATTGTTGATGTGTCCTCCATGTTAATGTGCGTCATTGTGGATGTGTCATCCATGTTAATGTGCGTCATTGTGGATGTGTCCTCCATGTTAATGTGCGTCATTATCGATGTGTCCTCCATGTTAATGTGCATCATTGTGGATGTGTCCTCCATGTTAATGTGCGTCATTGTTGATGTGTCCTCCATGTTAATGTGCGTCATTGTGGATGTGTCATCCATGTTAATGTGCGTCATTGTGGATGTGTCCTCCATGTTAATGTGCGTCATTGTGGATGTGTCATCCATGTTAATGTGCATCATTGTGGATGTGTCCTCCATGTTAATGTGCATCATGGTGGATGTGTCCTCCATGTTAATGTGCATCATTGTGAATGTGTCCTCCATGTTAATGTGCATCATGGTGGATTTGTCCTCCATGTTAATGTGCGTCATTGTGGATGTGTCCACCATGTAAATGTGCGTCATTGATGATGTGTCCTCCATGTTAATGTGCATCATTGTGGATGTGTCATCGAGGTTAATGTGCATCATTGTGGATGTGTCCTCCATGTTAATGTGCGTCATTGTGGATGTGTCATCCATGTTAATGTGCATCATTGTGGATGTGTCCTCCATGTTAATGTGCATCATGGTGGATGTGTCCTCCATGTTAATGTGCATCATTGTGGATGTGTCATCCATGTTAATGTGCGTCATTGTGGATGTGTCATCCATGTTAATGTGCGTCATTGTGGATGTGTCCTCCATGTTAATGTGCATCATTGTGGATGTGTCCTCCATGTTAATGTGCATCATGGTGGATGTGTCCTCCATGTTAATGTGCGTCATTGTGGATGTGTCATCCATGTTAATGTGCATCATTGTGGATGTGTCCTCCATGTTAATGTGCATCATGGTGGATGTGTCATCCATGTTAATGTGCATCATGGTGGATGTGTCCTCCATGTTAATGTGCATCATTGTGGATGTGTCATCCATGTTAATGTGCGTCATTGTGGATGTGTCATCCATGTTAATGTGCGTCATTGTGGATGTGTCCTCCAGGTTAATGTGTAATTGTTGATGTGTCATCCATGTTAATGTGCGTCATTGTGGATGTGTCCTCCATGTTAATGTGCGTCATTGTTGATGTGTCCTCCAGGTTAATGTGCGTCATTGTGGATGTGTCCTCCAGGTTAATGTGCATTATTGTGGATGTGTCCTCCATGTTAATGTGCGTCATTGTGGATGTGTCCTCCAGGTTAATGTGCATCATTGTGGATGTGTCCTCCATGTTAATGTGCATCATTGTGGATGTGTCCTCCAGGTTAATGTGCGTCATTGTGGATGTGTCCTCCATGTTAATGTGCGTCATTGTTGATGTGTCCTCCATGTTAATGTGCGTCATTGTGGATGTGTCCTCCAGGTTAATGTGCGTCATTGTTGATGTGTCCTCCATGTTAATGTGCGTCATTGTGGATGTGTCCTCCATGTTAATGTGCGTCATTGTGGATGTGTCCTCCATGTTAATGTGCGTCATTGTGGATGTGTCCTCCATGTTAATGTGCGTCATTGTGGATGTGTCCTCCATGTTAATGTGCGTCATTGTGGATGTGTCCTCCATGTTAATGTGCGTCATTATGGATGTGTCCTCCATGTTAATGTGCATCATTGTGGATGTGTCATCCATGTTAATGTGCGTCATTGTGGATGTGTCCTCCATGTTAATGTGCATCATTGTGGATGTGTCATCCATGTTAATGTGCGTCATTATGGATGTGTCCTCCATGTTAATGTGCATCATTGTGGATGTGTCCTCCAGGTTAATGTGCATCATTGTGGATGTGTCCTCCAGGTTAATGTGTAATTGTTGATGTGTCCTCCATGTTAATGTGCGTCTTAGTGGACGAGTCCTCCATGTTTATGTGCGTCAATTTGGATGTGTCCTCCAGGTTAATGTGAATCATTGTGGATGTGTCCTCCGTGTTAATATGCATCTTTGTGAATGTGTCCTCCGTGTTTATGTACATCATTATGCGTGTCCTCAATGTTGATGTACAATTGTGTCATTGGTGAACACTCATGCATGTATGACAGGAAACCCGTGGGCGCCGATTAATATCTTCCTGTTTTACAATTGCCAGGAAACTGACACATAGCTGAGTATAACATGTACATCATACACTGCTCGGTACAAACTGCGAAATATAATCACAAGCAGCATACCTAACTCTTGCCGACACCTACTTGTACATTGTGAATAGTTCACCTCAGGCCATCCGTTCATGTTCAAACAGGTGAGTAACCTGCAATCTAAACGCGTAGACAAACCAGTTTCTGGATGAAGGATACCACAGTCGTGGAACCCGTTGCTATTCGCAGCTGCTTCACGTAATCTTGCCAGTATCAGCAAACCCCAGATTCTTCCATATTATAACCATTGGTCTGTCGGCACCATATCAGGGTTCGTTGGTTTTAACAAAGAAAATTAACGTCTTCGAAATACAAGACGTGTGGTTCTCCTGCAGTGATACAACTGAAATATATTGTAAAGTCACTTTAAAAACATCATACACTGGCACCAATTTTCAGCAGAGGTTCATGTCGTGAACACTGTCATAGACTTCATGTATAATTGTTTAACCTTGTTCCCATTTAGTACAAGAAAACATTGATGCAGAGCATCAAAGTTCCCCGCCATATGTGATGCCTCACAAACGCATAATTATGATGTTATTGAAAGGCATGATGGAGCATAATTATATTAACCACAAATAACACAACGCTGTTGTGGAAAAAAATATTATTTATTTTGAGTAATCGGCAGTTGATACAGTTGATATATTTGCATAGGGTAGGTCTATTTAAAAATAGTTTCTTGTTTAACGCCGCACGTGCACTCAGCAGTATTCCAGCCATATGACGGCGGTCTGTAAATAATCCAGTCTGGACCAGATCATCCAGTGATTGACATCAAGAGCATCGAACTACGCAATTGGAATATGATGTTATGCATCGACCAAATCGGCGAGCCTGACTACCCAATCCTGTTCGTCGCCTCTTACGGCAAGCATAGGTTGCTGAAGACCTATTCTTACCTGGGTCTTTATTTAAAAAGTAGATCGAAGGAAATGGAAGCAATTTCTGGCACAAATGTAAACATGTGGAAATAGTATCAAAACTGCCAACAACATTGGCAGATTCACATACTCAAATAATAGATCACATTCTTTTCACACTTGGCATTTGGTTATAATAATGTAAATGAAAATACTAAGGGCTGCATATGTAAAAAAAAAGTCATACTAGATAAGGTCTTTTTGTCACAACCACAGATGCACTTACTCAAAATATTATCACGTAGTTGGAGAACATTTCAATACCGGGACTAATCAATAACGGAGATTCCTCGTCTCTTGTTTTACGTTTTTTAGTCAGTTTCTTTTTTGTATTTCTTTTTTTCAAAGAATAGTAATTGTGATCATGATGAGTTGAGTTACTTGGTTTATTTATATGTAATGTTTTTTATCCAGTGTCAGTAACTGTTGTGGAATGTGGTTTACTTGTAACAATGACTGGTTTGAGTTCATATGATGATGATTGATTGGTTTGTCGTTTAACGCCGCACTCAGCAATATCCCAGCTATATGACGGTGTTCTGTAAATAATCGAGTCTGGGCCAGACAATCCAGTGCCTTATATCGTGAGCATCGATCCACGCAATTGGGATCGATGCCATGCATCAACCAAAGCCTAACCATCCGATCCCGTTTGTCGCCTCTTACGACAAGCATAGTCGCCTGATATATTGTTAAGAAACATAACAATTCATCCATACTACTAAACAGAAGTAAAACCGCTTGTCAATTCGGATCAATCTAACCCAAACCATTCCGCTGATGAGAGTCAAATAATGCATACGAATCGAAATCCGTAAAAATTGCAATGGAGACATCATTAAAAGTTACCAAAAGTGACGGGGATATCAATATTGCTTGTTGAAATGATTCTATGAAAAAAAAATTCCCTGCTTCAATATTTTGAGCACCTGTGACGGAGCCATAAAACTGATCTGTTATGTAGACAATATCGCTTGAGGCAGTGGCTGCTGGGAGCTGATTATGACCTAAATACCCCTCATAGCCTTCGGTGTTAACTATGTGACTGTAGAGAGCTGTGCCTTCATCCAACAGATTATCGAGGTCAGTGGAACACGGTACAGACGCAAATAGATTTGAGCCATGGGACACAAAATATATGAGTGACCAGAGCTACGGCTGTACATTGAATTCCATTAAACGGTTGAAAAATACTACAGCCTTGATGCAAATTGGCATGTAGAATATGGAATTCAGCCATATTACATTTAAATTGAGATGTCGTCGTTGTTCATGAATAAGCATATTCAGAACATAATTTTTATTATGCTGTTATTTACTATCTCCGGAGCACAGTTCTTCTTTTGTATACATCGTGAAAATCTGAAAATTAGTCCTTGAGGAAAAAAGGACATCGGATTACACATGAATGGTTTAAAAATGTCAGCTAATGACCAGAAACGGTCAGATGCATCAATTAACTACATAAAGACGATTTTGAAGTATATCTTATTGCTGGAAAAGAATAGCATCAACATTCCACGCACATGATTTGTATGTTTTGTTTCCGTAAATGCGTGGCTTGAAATTTCAAATAAACCAACATGTCGACATGCCACAAAATTAACGTTTCCCGTATACTTCCCCGCCTTAAGGGCGGGGAAAAATAACCTCACTCGGAGGTCCCACATACCAGGTGTCCAGGGTAATTATACATCATATGAAGCGCGGCAATGTCTTGACGTGAGGTGAGGGAAAAGGGAGTTTGAGGTCGCGTCAAAGATTATTGCAGTTATATAGCGCTGTGTATGCACCTGTGTGTGTGGCTGCTTGTACTAGTTCGGACTAATGCCGAGTTTATGGTGCTGGTCCACTGAGATACCATGTCGCAGTTTAACATGAATACTCCATTCAGGCACTGTATACTGACACCGAGACGAACAGTCTTTGTTTTAACCTCTTAATGCCGAGCGTCAGGCAGAGTAACAACAAGTACCATCGTTTTACGTCTTTTGGTATGACGCGGCCGGGGATCGAACCACCTACCTAACCTTCTCCGGGCGGACGCTCTTCCACTAGACCATGGAGGCGGTCGACAATCTCTTGACATAACGTGTGATCGAATATGAAATTCACCCGTCAGTGATTAATCCTATGGATGCATATCAGACTGACATGTTATGTTTGTTTGTTTTTTTTACGCCGCAGTCACAACTATAGATAATGACTGCCTGTAAATAAATATGTACCAGACAAACCAATGATTGATATTGTGAGCAACGTTCCATGTTGTCATAGTAGGATGACACGTAACAACCAAGTCACCCATCCTGACTACCTGCATCCGATCTAATTTAGTCGCCTCATTAGACAGGGTTTGTGAAGGTCAAGTCGTGCCCGTGTTCCAACGAGAGACATCGCTGCAATGACATTGCATCACAATGTACTTGTGTGCTTGTACTTTTCAGCTGTACTTTTACACACGAGACACTGGTTATTACTGTTTACAAACTTAAAAGCTTTGGAATTTATTTTGGATGCTAAATAGAATCTCACCCACGTTTCTTGTGATATGAAATATATCAACACTCTTCGATAAAAGATAGTAAGTCTCGGCAAGCCTCGGAGATTTAAACTTTTATCGATTCGTGTTGATATTTTTTGATATCATAAAAAGACACGAGGGTGATATTCTCTATATATATTGTCCATGTTCATACGAATGTACTTGTATGTCTATTGTAAACATAATACTTCGCATGGTCACTTCAGAAATCTCCACTTGCCACATGGTCAGACTTGACTCCCTGCTGTATGTGGATCTTCGTTCATAATATCTACCAGTGTATTGTCTGACTCTAATATTTACCGACTCCCGTCATTTAGGTGGAATATTGCTGAGTTCGGAAATAAACAACAAACAACAATGATCAAACTTAGTTTTACTCGTAGTGCCAATACTAAAGTCTTGCCTTTAATCGGAAGAGGTATCAAACACGTTCACGGAATGTCCTTTAATCTGACCATGCCTCATTCAAGGGTAACAGGTAACAGGTAACAGGTAACAGGTAAATGAGATCCAGTCCAGTTTGCGGAATAGGCGGTTTACTCCTGACTGATGTCCACAATGCATCACGTCCTTTGTTCTGTAATTTGTGAACGTTGACAATTTGAGTTGAGGTCCATCTTTGGACATTGAAGGAGAGTAACGTACATTCAGTGCATACATTGGTATTACTTCACACTTGACCATACGCAAAAAGCAACTCATTTATTACTGTGACCGTGTACCCTATTGGCCTTATATCCGGCCATATGTACGCACATCACGTACATGTATGTATCATGTATCATGTGTGCACCTGTGATAACACTAATGTCCCTCATCAATGTAGAATCACTCGCAGCACCACATACATAAGTCATCTCTTGATTACTGTAAATTAGGACTAATCTCTGTATGTACCTACGTCCCCATGGTTCCTCGTACGGTGGCCTTACTGTGGTTGTTGGTGATCAAAAGCCCGTTGTTATATTGCATTGTTATACTTAATCATATCTGTTTATGTTAAAATACTAGTTTTAAATTAAACACTGTGCTGATCTTAACTGAGGGGCAAAAGAATGTATGCCGAGTTTGTTATTTATGTTAGTGAAAATTGAAAGAACTGTTGTGAAATTTTCTTTTTCTTTTTGAACCATCACTCATTCCTGCAACAGTTTATTGAACCATCACTCATTCCTGCAAAAAGTAATCTGTGGCCTGGTAGGTTTGTGTAAAAGTAAACTGACTCAATGAAGCCTGGGGTAAGAGTGAGTGAGTGAGTTGGGTTTAACGCCGCTTTTAACAGTATTCCAGTTATATCACGGCGTGTCAGCTTAATGTGGGAGGAAAGCCCGAAGTGATGCAGGTCTCGGACGTTTACCACTTCGGTGAAACCCACGAGCACGGGTATGGTGCTGACAAACCTAGAAACATAATCGGGGCGAACCGGGATTCGAACCCCCAACCATAGGTTTCTGGCGTGCCCAAGGGACGCATCTCTGCACAACGAATCGCGGCGCCTTAGACGACTGGGTAAGAAATGAACTTGCAACCATATGACCCCTGCCATGTTTGAAATATAATTTTTTGCCGAAGAAAGCAATTGTATTTATTTTCAATATATAAGATGTCCAAAGTACCCATCAACACTTGTGTATTTTGCGAAAGTATTTTGTTAATTTTTAAATGTTCAAAAGCAAGTTATATTTTAACAAAATAAAACCATGTAGAAGTAATCTTTGAGTGCTGACTAAGTACAGCTAATGTTTTACTTACTCCCTCACTCACTCGTGATTCCGTAATGTTGCAGAAGAATGGCGACTCCAAACCCTACCCTGGCTGTAAAGAAGTCAGGATTTGCCGACAACTGGCAAGCCGGGAAGACCCTTGCTGAATGTAATCTGCGCATGTTCAGTGATGAAGACTCTTGTGACGTCACTTTTCAAGTTGGCAGTACGAGTCATGTGATCAAGGCCCACCGCTACGTACTCATCAGCAGGAGCTGTGTGTTCCACGCCATGTTGTCTGGGCCCCGCATGAAGAAGTCCGACATCAGTGTCCCGGAAATAGAATATCATCACTTCAAACAATTCCTTATGTGAGTACAAGGAGACTAAAATGACCACATAATGGTGGTGATGCTGAGGTACCAACCATTAGAAATTGTTGACATTCATTTTGTATTTTTTTGTATTCAAAATGTCTGTTTGATATATTCATGTAGCCACGGTATAGTTAGTTCAGTTTTGTTATAAGGTTCTCAAGAATATACAGTCACATAATGTGTAAGCCGATGTGTCATTTATTTGTTGGTCTTTGAACATATCGAGTATCCAGCTTGATATTTGACTAACATCAGTCAAAACGGTTAATGATACGGTTAACATGTATTATATCATTATTCCTGTCATACTTGTTGTTGTTTGTTTGTTTGTTGTTTAATGCCGCACTGAGCAATATTCCAGCTATATGACGGCTGTCTGTAAATAACAGAGTCTGGACCATAAATCCCAGTGATTGATATCATGAGTATCGATCTACGCAATCTGGATACGATGACATGCATCAACCAAGTCATCGATTCTGACCACCCGACCCCGTTATTCGCCTCTCACGACAAACATAGTCGCCTGTTACGACAAGCATGGGTTTCTGAATGCAGATGCTGTTATTGACTTACAATACTTACAAGGAAGGGAGGTATACTGACAACTGTATTGGAGATTTCATCACTGAGGTCGATTGGGTGGTCAGGAAATAGTGAGTGAGTGAGTCAGTAAGTGAGTGAGAGAGTATGGTTTTACGCCGCTTTTAGCAACATTCCAGCAATATCACGGTGGGGTACACCAGAAATGGGCTTCACACATTGTACCCATGTCGGGAATCGAACCCGGGTCTTCGGCGTGACGAGCGAACGCTTTACCCACTAGGCTACCCGACTGCCCCTCAAGAAATAGTGAGACAGATAACATGTTATTTGTATACTTTTTGGCAGATACCTCTACACAGACCACACAAAGGTTGACGTGGACAATGCCACAGCTCTACTGTACGCCTCCAGGAAGTATGCCATAAACACATTAGAATCCTGTTGTCTGGAGTTCCTCGATGAACACCTCTCAGCTGACAATGCCTGTATAATTCTTAAGTCGGCTAATCGTTTTGGCCAAAGTGAGTTCTACCAGAAAGCATTGGCTTTAGTAAAGGGTGAAGGTGAGAGGTCACTACAGTCCCCTGATTTCCTGGCACTGGGTCAAATGTTGGTGGATCAGATCGTGGAGTCGGATGACCTGGTTGCCCGAGAGCACGTGGTCTTTAACGCTGTCAACAGCTGGGCAGAGGCAGAGTGTCGGCGCAAGGGAAGAGAGGCAACTCCCGATGCCAAGAGATCACTTCTAGGTGGGACATTGATGAAGGTTCGTTTTCCGCATTTAGAACATGCATTTCTCAGAGAAGAGGTGAAAAACAGTGGGCTCCTGACTGACTCCGAGCGTCTTAAGATATTCGATTACACAGCAAATTCAATAATTGACCCCAAGCCGTTCAATGCAAAGCCAAGAGCTAGATATCACAAAACGCCCATCCATTATGTCAAGAGATTGACGTCAATGTATAAAGGGTATTCTTGGAAATACAGCGGCAAACACGATGCTATATCGTTCTATACGAACAGGAGGGTGATGTTAACCGGGTACCAATTGTATGGTAACTACAGCACCACGGGTGATTGTGTGTACAGTGTTACCTCCTATCTAGGGAACGACGATACAGTGTTGTACTCCAAGATTCAGGACACCATGGAGTACAAGGTTCGAGACCGCGTGTACGACGTAATGCTGGAGAATCCCGTCACCATCACTGCGGGTGACTGGTACACTCTGGCAGTGAAGATCAAAGGACCTATCACGCCCAGGGGAGATGGTGGAGTGGAGCAGGTGGTCTGTGATGACGGAGTTCAGTTTAACTTTAGAAACTCAAATCACAGCAAAAATGGCACAAAGCTTTCATATGGGCAGATCCCTTCTCTCATCTATCGCCTTGTGTGAAGCTACAATGTTAACCTTGGTCACACATTTATCATGACAGTGAGTGAGTGAGTGAGTGAGTGAGTGAGTTGGGTTTAACGCCGCTTTTAACAGTATTCTAGTTATATCACGGCGTGACAGCTTAATGTTGGAGGAAAGCCCAAGTGATGCAGGTCTTAGACGTTTACCACTTCGGTGAAACCCACGAGCACGGGTATGGTGCTGACAAACCTAGAAACATTATTGGGGCGAACCGAGATTCGAACCCACAATCATAGGTTTCTGGCGTACCCAAGGGACGCAACTCTGCACAGCGAATTACGGCGCCTCAGACGACTGGGCCACCCGTGCCCCCTCATGACAGTGATGAAATTATGATGAGAACATAATGTACCGTGTTCTTGCTGTCCTGGGTCCTGCCTTCGGGTTTGTGTTCACTCTTACTGTGTTATTTATGTGAAAATAACGCTATTCCTACAACGGACATTGCTTATCAATGTGTGTTGCAGGTTCCTGTTACATTATTATAAACTGTTTATAAGTAGACTCCAGATAAACTATTACCTTCTGGAAGGTGTGAGTAAATAAGGCCTGCGTTGAGACAGCAATATTCCAGTTATCACGCCGGCCTGTAAATATGTGTGCTTTGTTCAGGCAAACTTGTGGTTGATCGTTCATTTTTACATCCGATCTTCATTTACGTCGCCTCTTAAGACAGCTAGCCGTGGTCTAGTGGTAGAGCGTCCGCCCGGAGAGCGGAAGGTCCGGGGTTCGATCCCCTGCCGCGTCATACCAAAAGACGTTAAAAGATGGTACTTGTTGTTACCCTGTCTGGCGCTCGGCATTAAGGGGCTAAAACAAGGACTGGTCGGCTCGGAGTCAGTATACTGTGTCTGAGTTTGGTATTCATGTTAAACTGCGGCATGGTATCTCAGTGAGCTAGCACTATAAATCGGCATCAGTCAGGACTAGTACAAGCAGCCACACACACACATACATGTACATCCACGTCGCTTTATAAGTGCAATAATCTTGGACGCGACGTTAAATTCAATTTCCCCTCACCTCTTAAGACAGGTACGGGGTACTGGAGACATATTCAGCATTCTGTGTTCAATGCATGATAATGAAACGTTTGGACGATCCTAGATACACTTTTTATTATTTGCATATCTGAATTAATATTTATAGCATGTGACAAATGGGACCTTTTATGTAATGATCGTGAGTACATAAGCATCCGGACAGGGGATGTTATGTTGATTTATGATAATTGTGTACATATCATGACGTCAGAGATTTAATTTGGTGAACCCAACGAGGTCAAGGGTCAACACGACACGCCGCCACCACATCAAAGTAAATGGAATTGAAACATGTAACACTGCAGCCTTAAATCATTATGTTTATGGATTATAAACACACTTGTTGTGCTTCTTTTTCAATTGTTATAATGAATATTTTCTTTGTTTGTGAGAACACTTGTAATATAGAAACATGTACAATAAATATATGTATAAATACATGCCTGTCTAGTGTTGATTATTCTTTAAAACTTAAAAGAATATCATGTTTTGCGTCTCTGGTGTATTTGCATGAAATATGTCAATATTATGATTGTATAATGTTTATATAAATTAATATATGTTGTTTAATTGTCGATGTCAATTCATCACCATTTAATTTGTCATCTGAACATTTCAAACCATGGCATCAATTATCTGTACAAGTAGTGCCTGACGTGGTAGAAGATCAAGTACTTCTGTATATGAATGAATAAACACGGGGTAACGACCGCATTCAGTGAGTATGGCTCTCTGAACCGGTTTGAAACTTTATTTGTTTGTGACCCGTAAAGATCCGGGTTAGAATAGCAGCAAAACCCATGCGTGCCGTAAAAGGCGACTATGCTTGTCGCAAGAGGCGACTAACGAGATCGGGTGGTCAAGTCGCGCTATCATCGTATCCCAACTGCGTGGATCGATGCTCATGATGTCAGTCACTGGATTGTTTTGTTCAGAGTCGATTATTTACACACGCCTCCGTCATGTGGCTGGATTAATACTGAAAGCGGCGTTTAACAACAAACACTGGCGTTTAACCAGATCCACATATCCACATACTCTCAATCAGTCTGCTTTCACAACAAGCTATTCTCCCCAGATATCCCAACGGCGGGGTGATGACAAACGGAAATTAACTGACATTTGATGAACAGGTCGAACATTTATTGATAAATACATTAATGAAACTGTTCAATAGTTCACAATGAAGACTCTAGGCGAAGTCGAAAAGAAACAAGGACAATCGACGCAGTCGGGCTACGACACCAAACCATCTGCCAGGTCACACATTTTAACCCCCAGATCCTCATCAGCAGGTGTAATATTACCCATGGTCCGTTAAGACAATGGACAGTTTATCCTACACTACAATACCATACCTAGGAGACTGAATCCAGACATATGACGATAAGTACACTCGACACTGGTATTCTAGTTCACTCCCCGAAGAGTGAGTGAGTTGGGTTTAACGCCGCTTTTAACAGTATTCTAGTTATATCGCGGCGTGTCAGCTTAATGTGGGAGGAAAGCCCAAAGTGATGCAGGTCTCACACGTTTACCACTAGAGCACGGGTATGGTGCTGACAAACCTAGAAACATAATCGGGGCGAACGGGGATTCGAACCCACAATCATAGGTTTCTGGCGTGCCCAAGGGACGCAACTCTGCACAGCGAATCGCGGCGCCTTAGACGACTGGGCCACCCGTGCCCCCTCACTCCCCGAAGATCCCCCGGGATTAGTAGTCGTTGGACGTTGTTACCTAGGACCGAAGTTTTTTGGACACACTGTAAACGAACTTCAAGGTTAATTGTCGTTGTTCTTAGCCTTGCGACATCTATGACATCGGTTCTCACACCAATCATTGGATGCAAATGGAAATATTCTGTCACAGATTCCCCACGCACAATAGGTTTGTTTGTTGGTTGGTTGGTTGGTTTAACGCCGCACTGAGCAATAGTCCACCTGTATGACGGCGGTCCGTAAATAATCGAGTCTGTACCAGAAGATCCAGTGATTTACATCATGAGCATCGATCTACGCAATTGGTATACGATGACATGCATCAACCAAATCAGCGAGCCTGACCAGTCGAACCGGTATGTCGCCTCTTGACATTGAAGAGCTTCCTAACTAATTTTATTGAAAGGATGATTACATGTGATAAAATTGTGTTTTAATATACATGTTACTGGCATGTTGTGATATCCAAATAGCTTTGTTTGTATTGTGATATCCTGATATCCCAGTGCAGGTTCAGGTAGGACGATAGATGAGAGATGGTATCTGTCCGTGTGATACATCTGTACCATTTGTGCTGTGCTTGGATGTCCTGAAATCAAACGTCACTCTCCCCACGTTACAATACACTTCCTCACGTCCTGCACGTCCATGCGACGTGATCTGTCCCTGTATCACCACCGCCAGAGTGTACCACTGCCCGGCACTGACGGTAACAGGCTTCTCCAGCAACACATCAAACGTCTCGTCGTCAGCCCGATACACCTTGGCATCCTGAATCTTCGAGTTCAGAACTGCATCCTCGTTCCCAAAGTAAGACGTGACAGTGTAATCGTCATTACTGGTTGTGTATGGGCCATAAAGTTGATATCCAATCAGTGTGACGTTCTTGCTGGTACGGAATGAAATAGCATCTGTTCCTCCACTGCATCCCCAATGACCCTCATTATACATGTATCTATAGGCATACTGTACGGGCAGTTTGATACATTTAGTTCTCAGATTGGTTTTGAATGGCTTTACGTCATTATCTGAGTTAGCTCTGTAATCGAATATCTTAAGTCGCTCAGAGTCAGATAAGAGCCCACTAGATTTCACCTCACCTGCCAGAAACGAAGGTTCTAAAAGGGGATATCTAACTTTCATTACTGTTTCTCCAAGAATGGATCTCTTGGCTTGAGGTGTTACCTCCCTTGCCTGACGTCCACACTCTGCCTCTGCCCAGCTGTTTACAGCATTGAAGATCACGTGTTCCCCGGCAACAAGGTCATCTAATTCCACGATCTGATCCACCAACACGTGGCTTAGTGCCAGGAATCCTAATGACTGCAGGGACTTGTCACCTTCGCTTTTGACTAAGGTCAAGGCCTCTTTGTACAAATGGCTCTGATCATAATGATGAGCTGCCTCCAAAACCACACAAGCGTTTTCAACAGAAAGGTTATTCTCCAAGAACTCAAGACATTGGGATTCTAAGGTAGTGGTGGCATATTTCCTGGAGGCGTACAGAAGAGCAGTTACGTTGTCGGCGTCGATATGTGTTGTGTCAGTATAAAGGTATCTGGAAACAAGCATATGTACTCAAGTAAGGCAGTTTTCATGAGGTGGTGAAATTGGGTTTAACGTCGCGTCCAAGATTATTGCACTTATAAAGCGACGTGCATGCGCGTGTGTGTTTGTGTGGCTGCTTGTACTAGTCCGGACTGATGCCGATTTATAGTGCTAGCCCACTGAAATATCATGCCGCAGTTTAACATGAATACCCCACTCAGACACAGTATACTGACTCCGAGCCGACCAGTCCTTGTTTTAGCCCCTTAATGCCGAGCGCCAGACAGGGTAACAACAAGTACCATCTTTTAACGTCTTTCAGTTTTCATGAAGGAGGGCAGTATAACCATATTTACTTCAACGTGACTATATCTTTTCAGCTTTTTCAGGTTTTGATGATAATGGATTTAATATGATGTAATATTGAAAAAAGATATTTCGTTATGGCGGTTCACTTATGGCATATTTTAACAGCTTTTTTTAACTGTAAGCCCTGAGCAAAAATTAGATATCACTTCTTGAAGGGACCCAATCCACTCATGCCAAAAAGGGTTACCTCTATAGTTCTTATTTCACACTTATTGCCTCGATTGTTAATCAGTGATACTTACAACACGAACTGTTTGAAATCCTTGTGCTCTATTTCTGGAATACTGACATCCGACTTCTCCGCCAGGGGGCCGGTAAACATGGCGTGGAACACACAACTTCTGCTGATGAGTACGTAGCGATGGGCCTTGATCATGTGACCTGTACTTCCCACTCGAAATGTGACGTCACACGAATCTTCTGCATCCAACATGCGCCGATTACACTGAGCGAGGGTCTTCCCAGCTTGCCAGTTGTCAACAAATCCTGTTGGTTGGACGCTCGAAGCTGCCATTCTTGTGGTAAATCTGGAACGATATGTACCTAAATACCATAGTATATTCAACACATACCATGAATCTGATACAACGGTTGGCACAGTTAGACGAGCATTGGCACAACGTCATTCATGAATCTACATTTCTGGCCCTGTACTATTTTTTTGTCAGGACAACCGATGCCGTGAAAGTGAGTGGACAGACTTCGAGAATAATAATAGAGTCCCATGGTGTTACAACAGGTCCTTGTGCCATACAAACATATTAGTATATAATAATATAGAGTGTAGAGTTGCGTCCCTTGGGCACGCCAGAAACCTATGGTTGTGGGTTCGAATCCCGGTTCGCCCCGATTATGTTTCTAGGTTTGTCAGCACCATACCCGTGGGTTTCACCGAAGTGGTAAACGTCTGGGACCTTCATCACTTCGGGCTTTCCTCCCACATTAGGCTGACACGCCGCGATATAACTGGAATACTGTTAAAAGCGACGTTAAACCCAACTCACTCACTCACTGACTCTCCATTTCCCACGTTGGCCTACAGTCCTAAGACAAAACACACACAAATACTATTTTGAAGGCCCAGTCCCTGAGAAGCTTAAGAATACAGAAAGACCTTTCGAAGTGTGGACGCACGACGGCTTAAACCCATAAAAATACAATAAGCTCATAGTCACTTACACATTCATAGTGAGTTAGAACGAAAGATGTGAGGTAAAATGGGGTTTAACGTCGCATCCAAGATTATTGCACTTATATAGCGACGTGCATGTACGTGTATGTATGTGTGCGGCTGCTTGTACTAGTCCGGACTGATGCCGATTTATAGTGCTAGCTCACTGAGATACCATGACGCAGTTTAACATGAATACCCCACTCAGACACAGTACACTGACTCCGAGCCGACCAGTCCTTGTTTTGGCCCTTTAATGTCGAGCGCCAGACAGGGTAACAACAAGTACCATCTTTTAACGTCTTTTGGTGTGATGCGGTTGGAGATCGAACCCCGGACTTTCCGCTCTACGGGCGGACGCTCAACCATTAGACCACGGAGGCGGTAGTAGAACGAAAGAAATTTACCCAACTGCCTCGACGACTACCCCAGCTCCGGTAAATTTAAATAAACCACTACCCACAACACGTAATATTTAGAACATATCTGAGTTGACCCGGAGGACCGTGTATACTGTCAAACAATTTCGGGTACAGATTTTAATACAAATGGCCGGGCCCCTAATGTGGGGCTGGTAACATTTGGGGAAAACATATGTATGTACATACGTCTTATCACATCTCACCAATCAGAAGCATGTCACGTGATTTGAATTATCGAATATTTTCCAAAGTCATGGTAACATGGTATTTGCCGAGGACAATTAAAAAGAGAATTAAAAACTCGTCATTTACACACATGAACATAGTCTTGATGTCAGAGATACACGTTTCCATTTTAGCACGTGACACCTTCGTAACCCATCCAAAATCATCGCTGTCAACAGTGTGTACGTACTTTGAAAATGTCCCCCCCCCCCCCCCCCCCCACCCCCCCACCATAATATACCGACATACATGTACGTATTTGGTTTGGGTATTGGATTTGCTGTCATTTTAGATTTTGTGAAAATATTTAATGACTTATTGTCTGTTTTTACAATGTTCCAGAAAAATATGGGCCGACATTTGAGTTTTGCGGAATTGCACTGAACGTCTCGTTCTTAAATATTTTGATGAGATGGATTAAATGACAGATGAAATGGAAAGAAAAAGCCCTTGACAACAAAGCAATACTATGAATAAGTCCGGAGTGGTTCGTTTCAACTTTATGCATGGTTGTTGGTCGCCTATCAAAGTGGAAACTTATTACCTGTGACGGCGATAGTGTGGGAAGAGCACAGCGTGCGGTTCATGCCACGTCAGAAACTGGTGCGTGTACGGTGGAGGGGAGACAACTCCGACTTTGCATGACTCAACAGATGTGTTGATGATTCAGTAATTTCTTCACAAATGGGTCGGTTGGTGAGGCAGATTGTTATCGGGTACAGCAGAAGATAGCCAGACTATCCGTTTCATAACCAATAACATTATTAACCTACCGATCGGTGTCTAACATAATTATCGTGTCAGATCCTTTGTCTGCTTCGCACATCCATTGAGTCAAGGCATAGCGACAAACAAGGCTGCGCCGCGCTGACTGTCTTATAAGATACGTCCTATGGGCAGGTCCAACATGTGGCGAGAACTTGTGCCTCATCGTGCTCCGACATATGGCAAACGTACATGTATGGTGTAAATTGACTCACCTGATAACAATGTGCATGCACAACCTGCCTTGTTTGCGATGCCTGCTAACTTCCGGATATGCGTCACCTGGTCTCCTTTCAACAACAACAACAACAACAACAACTTTGAACTACGCAGATACAATTAATCATTAATACAGGCGCTCGACAACCGCGGTTAACAACACGTATGACACATAGCTGTTGGCCTCAACGCTCGTGTAAAGTTTCAGAACAGCATACACTCAAGACACGGGGCCAGTTGTTTACATTATAGGGGTTGGGACCCCCGATGTGACACACATATAGAATGAGATCACTCGACTGTTTACTATTAACGCTCAGTTTAGCGTTTGTGAATTGGAAAGAAAGAATAACGATTACTGTTTCTCTCCTTAGGCATCTCATCGAATGATATGATTTATCTGTGCGATTTTACTTTTTGCATAAGTATTGTGAGATTATATATACCACCGTTTATACAACAATTCGAGCAGTCGTGAATGTGTAGTGTTTACTTTTATTAGGCAGTTGCGTTGTTTATGTAACTATTGCCATCGGGGATTCTGTTTAGGGGGATGAGAGCAATACAACCGACAGTCGACATTTGCCTGAAATCAGTCATTACATGTTACCAGGAAGATTAAAGTAGAGAAAAACCGTACATATATGTTATTTACAAAAGAGAAAATCAATGATATATGGAATGAATACGGGCTTCACAGGTCGGGGAACAAAAACACCACATTTGTGCAGATGAGTGAGTGAGTTTATGGTTTAACGCCGCACTCAGCAATATTTCAGCTATATGACGGCGGTCTGTAAATAATCGTGTCTGGCACAGACAATTCAGTGATTGACATCATGAGCATCCATCCGCGCAATTGGGATCGATGATATCCATCAACCAAGTCAGCGAGCCTGACCACCCGATCCCGTTAGTCGCCTCTTACGACAAGCATAGTCGCCTTTTACGGCAAACATGGGTTGCTGAAGACCTATTCTACCCCTACCCCTCATCTTCACATTGTGCAGATCCTTGTACCTGGATAGTTAAAGTATGGGTTTATATATATGGGTTTGAATCCACGATTCGCTCCGATCATGATCTTTGGTTACTTGGCACCATACAAGTTGCAAATGGATCTCGATAACTGACTCGATTAGTATAGCAAAATGGAAAGATGACTTGTATAAAACGTTATTTACATACCGCCATTATCGAGAAGAAATATTGTTAGGTGTAGTAAACGTCTTAGACCTGCATCACTTCAAACTAGCTGCCGTGATATAACTGAAATACTGTTCAGAGCGGCATTTAACCAAACTTACTCACTCACTCAATAGATGGTTTGGCTATAATCGAATATTCAATATTCATATTATGCATCAACGATATATGCACATTCACTTCACACACAAATCCACGATATACGTGTATGAATGGCCAGTAAAATATTCACATTTGTTGATCTTTGTTCACTGATACTCTAATTTGTTTGTTTGACTTTTATTGTTATGTTAGAATTGATCATAAAACATTGACATTGTTGAATTAATTATAAATTATCGACATTAATTAAATTGGTATAATAATATATATTTGTATTTGACGCACACTCCCATACTGGTTATATCTATGTGAACTGTTGACCCGTGAAGATCCGGGGTACAATAGGTCTTCAGCAACCCGTGCTTGCCGTAAAAGGCGACTTTGGTTGTCGTAAGAGGCGACTAACGGGATCGTGTGGTCAGGCTCGCTGACTTGGTTGATGCATGTCATCGATCTCAATTGCGTGGATCGATGCTCATGATGTCAATCACTGGATTGTCTGGTCCAGACTCGATCATTTTACCGACCGCCGTCATATAGCTGGAATAAGGTCTTCAGGTCTTTCTCGTCATGAGTTTTGTTGCTACACTGTTAAAAATATGAACAAACTGAACGACATAGCAATGATTATTGAATAACAGTTATCCATCAGTCACGCACCACCAAACAAGTAAACAAAACTTCCTAAACAGGAAAAGTGGCCTCTTTGATAGACATTTAGAAGTTGGAGTACTAAGTAAGGATAAGAATTTATGGATAAACAACTTCTTTATTACAATTAAGAGCGACGTTTCGTTGTGGGTTCTAATGTCGTTAACAAGCATCACTCGGTGTAGGTTTTAACACCGTTATAAAGCATCACTTGCTTGATAACGGTGTTAGAACCTACACCGAAACGTCGCTCTAAATTGTAATAAAGGAGTTGTTTATCCATAAATTCTTATCCTTACTTAGGAAAAATGGCATCATAATTCCTAACGAACCAGGATAGGAGTAGATCTGAATATTCCATGTTATCAATGTTGTTGAATGTTGTTGAACGTTATTTCTGGAGGGACCGAGCAACTGAATACCCTCAGTTAGATTGTTGGCTCGAAATACCCGGTGCATTGCAGATGTGTAAACACTTAGCATGGACACAGAAAAACCAGTTCTATGCATTACATATGTTTAAGGAATGAACCGTTGTAGTTAACACGAATTTGTATTGCCCTAGTTCGGTCCTTTTCTATGAAAAAAATCATAATGGTCAAGTATAATATTCTACTAAAAGACGTGAGTCCATACAATTCTTGCATACAACACCAACATACATTATGTGAGGGCAACTCTCAAAGACCAGCATACACTGTGAAAGGGCAACCCTACGAGTTCCTTTTCTGCATGAGCAGTTTTGGCCTATAAACACAAACGTTGGTATGAAGGCCTCGCTGTACATTGTCAGGAGCTGTAGAATTCCCGAACAAAGAAGCATGGGTGTACCAATGAAATGTCCATTACAACCACCCCGATTAGGCAAAACGGTGTCTTCCCACGATCTGAGACGCTAGGGGTTGCTCTGTCAATGCAGCTCGCGACGAGTAAAATGAATATTTCCTACATGTACAGGTATTAGAAGCTCCACCGTCTAGGATTAACGTCTGATCAATGAGATATTAACAGTCACATTCGAGATTGGCGTTGCCGGTAAGTGTACACACGCACCTCCTCTGTAAGGTAAAATGAAATTCCTACACTTTGTAATTTCTTGTATTAATATCTTGTTTTAAGACGCGAAACACCGACATATATTAGGCCAGATTACTCTTTGTTGTTACTTAGTTGTCGGAATGCCAATGTCGGTGTCCTGGGTTACGTCTTAGGCATGATATGTAAACGTACACGGGTTATTTCATCATGTTATTGGTATATACCAATGTCATTATATGAATATTATGCAAATGTGAAATTTCAATCTTTGAAATGTTACATAACCTGTATTTGCAGTTTTAGTATTTCTGTAACTCTTGAACGTAGATGTTGATGGTTGGAGGGTCGGATGCCGCTATATACATTGTTCCAGTACAAATTAGGTTTCACTGGACGTGATGCCCAAATTGTTTGAGTTTTGAAAAGTGAAAATAATGATAACAGTGATGGGTGACAAACCAAAGGTCATAATAGTGGACCCGTGAAGATTCCGGGGTATAATAGGTCTTCATTAACCCATGCTTGACGTAAAAGGCAACTATGCTCGTCGTAAGAGGCAACTAAAGGGATCGGGCGGTCAGGCTCGCTGACTTGGTTGATACATGTCATCGATCCCAATTGCGTGGATCGATGCTCATGATGTCAATCACTGGATGGTCTGGTCCAGACTCAATTATTTACAGACCACCGTCATACAGCTGGAATATGCGGCGTTAAACAACAAACAAACAAACAAATCATAATAGGGGAGAATTGGACATTGGACTTTCTGTGCCCCATGCTTATAAACAGGCATTCAGGAGTAAGAAGTGACCAACCTTTTCTCGGGAATTCATCGCATGTGCATTAATATTATAATATATATTTTGTGTCGTTACTAAATAACTTCTTTGAGGATTCGGGTTAGACCTGGTTCTCCTAAACATATGCTTGTCGCTTGAGGCGTGTGTGTCGGGTGGTCATGTTGGGTGACTTTGTTGACTGAGTGGCATTCTGCTCCATGACATTGGACGATGCGCTTAATATCAACATTGGTTTCGCTAGTCCAAACTTGGTTATGTGCAGTCCGTCGTTTTTATAGCTGGAATATTGCTGAGAGCGTCGTTAAGCAAGTGAAAAACAGAAAGTGCTTAGAGAAATTGTAAATTTCTGTGATACACTTATTGTCATCTAACGTTGAGCGAATGGAATTAAGTGTAATGAAAACTCGAAGTTCAATGACTCAGTGAAATCTTTGAGGACGTTGTCACTTTATAAAAGAAGCCTTACATCGGTGATGTACTGCAGCATTCTCTTGTGTCGGGCTACGGATAACTCGACATATTTCCAAAGACCCAGGGGACATTGCGATAACCAGGTTTCACTGTACCACACAGATTAACTGCTTGGTTCACATTCCAATTCACTGCATTGAGACTAAGTTAAGCACCATATACATGTATGTAACCGTTAAGCCAGCTGCTAACCTTTATTAGTTAGGTCTTAGGGTATTACACCCCGATACAACGTAAACTGCCTGGCAAAAGAGAGGAAACAATGAACATTCCAACTTCACTCTGCTAATTACAGACCTCCAACAGAAATAAAAAATTGTTTAATTGTCTTAAAAAAATATATAATGAATAGGAGTCCGGAGTCTCTCTTTATTTTGAACTGCAGTAATCTAGACTTGCTAACTATTATAGACATGCATGGGCTGTATTTCATATACAGTAAACTACGGTTATAACGAACACGCTTATAACGAACTGACGGATATAACGAACTTACTTTTTGGTTCCGACTATTTGCTGTAGTAATGCTGTATATATGCTTATAACGAACTACGGTTATAACGAACTAATATTAGTAGTCCATTTGAGTTCGTTATAACCGTACTTTACTGTATTTGTGTCCGGGTCTGTATGACAGACTGTGCTCATTACTGTGCACAGTGTAGTTGTGCCCCGCGTCACGTGCACGTCACACGTTGTGGGATACCCTTGCTCATTGATATGATGCATGTAATATCGCCTATGACACCCGTATAAAATACATCATCACCGAATAACCATTTCTTGCTTGTTTCTTTGTAGCCACCATTAAACATGTGTACTTTCTCTTGCCTGGTAGTTAGTAAGGACGTACAGCTGTTTTCTTTATGAGAGAATTTGCAGTGTTATTCAACGGTGCCGAGCGTTTTTACAGTGAAAATTCGTTAATCAGTTACAGGTGAACACAGTAATGTCCCTCTTCTTTAATACAGACATTTTCTTCAGTAACAGGCAGTAAGGGGAGGATTCCGGATTAACTGGTGTTCTCTTTACTGTGATTGTGTTGATATTGTTCTGAAAACCAGAATGACGAGCTAATTGTTTGCTCCTCACGTGACTACATTAATAACTCAAACATTGCATTAATATTTCACTTGGTTGATTGCGTGTCCTGGAGTGTTGCTCATAGTATCAATCACTGGATTGTCTGGTCCAGACTCGACCGCCATCCATCGTATAGCGGGAATATTGCAAAGTGCGGCGTTCAACAACTAATAAACATGCTATAGGCTTTTTTGTATAGATGCTTCAATTTGTTATATGGTAAAAGGTACTGTATTTTATTAACATCACTTTTGTCCACAGTACTCTGCCTGCCATGATGTGGACTTACATTCTCCTGATCGTCTTAGTCTCCTGTCCCCTGGTTAACGCCGACCTGTCAACTCTAAACAGAGGTATGGTATATCAGAAACAATCTCGGACACATCGCTTTCCCCAAGAGGGGGTTAGGGTGGGGAGGTGGAGGTGGGGGTGGGGTGGGGGAGTGGGGGTAGGGGGGAGTGATTAACGTGATCGATCATCCCTCCATAGGCCCGTGTTCGATGCCCTCAACCGTACAACGTGTGAAGCCGATTTCTGTTGTCCCCTGCCCTGATATTGTTCGAATATTACGGCGTAAGCGTACACTCGCTATTTTTTTCCTCAAGTAAAATTCTCTTCAAATATCATTTTACAGACCGCCGTCATATAGCTGGAATATTGCCGAGTGCGGCGTTAAACAACAAACAAACAAAACAAAAAGAACGAACGAACCTTAAAAACTGACATTTCGGATTCAGACAGAACCACATCAAGAAGTCCCGACAAAGACATATGCATTTCCTCACATAAACAATAGAAATGAAAGAAAACACAAACAACATAACATTATAAATACTCCGTATGTAAAAATAGTAGGAATATCAAGTTGGACCACTTAGCAATTGACAACATTTCCGCTATTCCATTGGTAATGTATCACAATATGTGCAGTTGGCTTGTCATATTTGAAAGTCCGTTTGGACGATTTCTGTGCGGAGACTAAAGTATAAAAATTATCATTGTCCATAATGATGCATGAATGTTTGATATATCTTAGGTGAAGTACCGCTGATTATATTCTGATTTAACGTTCTGAACGTGACCCTTCAAGCAAGGTGTATTGTTATATTAACGCAAATGAAGAAGTAAATGATGAACAGTTTATTTGGATCCATACATGTACGTCTATCATTATCTGCAGAGTTACGTTCCTTGTCCGGTACAGAATCCTCAGCTCATGGGTTCATTACTTGATGAACTCTGACCATCTTTGGTCAACAACTAGGACCAGCGTTTTTCATTAAGCTGACCTGTCGTGTTATTAACCAAATTACCGTTCTTAGCAGCTTTATACCACACCTTCGCCACTCGGTCTTTTCCTAAACGTTTGGGGGCACGTTTGGCCCGTTCGTCTAAGGCGCTGTGCAGAGTTGCGTCCCCTGGGCACGCCAGAAACCTATGATTGTGGGTTCGAATCTCGGTTCGCCACGATTATGTTTCTAGGTTTGTCAGCACCATACCCGTGCTTGTGGGTTTCACCGAAGTGGTAAACGTCTTAGACCTGCATCACTTGGGGCTTTACTCCCACATTAAGCTGACACGCCGTGATATAACTGGAATACCGTTAAAAACGGCGTTAAACACAACTCACTCACTCCTAAACATTTACAAGCCAGATTTGACATGACATGACATGAATATATAATTCAGGGTAAGAAGTCGTGCCTCCCTTACCTATAAACTCAATACCTTTCTGAATTTGGTTACCGTGAAAAGAAATATATATGCCTGTTGAACATAAACTCTGTGGGACTATTGACACACTTCTGTCAATATCGTGACACAAACGTGGGGTCCATTGTATTCATTGACAAAGCGCGCGTATGGCTGTTTGGCCCAAACAGTAATTTGTCCTCAGTTGGTCAGACAGTACGGTCCCGTCTTCTTGAATAGCGACGACAGTAATGACACGAGGATGTATACCGAACGTGATATGTCTGTACGTCTACTGTAAGTTCTTCAGTGTGGTTGAACAACGCCTACATCTTTCTGAAGTAGTGAAAAGTGTTTGAATGGTTGAAGTTTAATGTGAATTTGTATCAATACAGCCACCAGCCCACTGTTCCATTTCAATAGCTATAATCGGATTTTAAATTGGCAAAAAGCCCTTGCGGTAAGAATAGCAACGAGAAGGGTGTTTTGTGAGTGCGTGACTTGGTGTTTGAAAATATCTCCGTTCAGTTATGTATCATGGCAATTCAGTCCACCAAGTCAGTATCCAGGCGTTTAGCACTTTGTAAAATCCATGAGTGAGTGAGAGAATATTTGATTTAACATCTAACACCGCTGAGGGAGGAGTGGGTAGTAGGTTTTACATTTATACTACTTTGGTGAAACTTGGGTATGGTGATGACAAACCTATCGAACCAGCTACCATAGGTTTCTGGTACGACTAAAGAGCGCAAATCTGCCCAGCCACATGCGGAGCCTTAGACAAATGTATGTAACCAACAGAATCAGGGCAAATATAGAAATATTTTACGCGAACACGTATGATTGATGCGATTTCGACATCCGGGTTAACTTTCCCTCCACGGAGTTTTATATCAATCAATCAATTAATCAAGTTTACCAATATGAGCAGTCCGATATTTCATGTTCTGTTTCCACGTGCATTATGCTGACATAACAGACAAAATGAGTTCAGATAGCCATTAGAACCAACACGGTCACTAATCATGTATCATTAATCACATTTGTTGCATTTAGATGGTTAAGGTGAGGTGAAATGGGGTTTAACATCGCGTCCAAGATTATTGCACTTATATAGCGACGTGCATACACGTGTGTGTATGTGTGTGGCTGCTTGTACTAGTCCGGACTGATGCCGATTTATAGTGCTAGCTCACTGCAAAAAACCCGCAAAAGTGATGTTAGATGCATATTTTATGTGCATACTTTTTGTAAAACTATCACTGTACTATTGGTCTCATGGCCAAAAATACGAATAAAATGTTTGCCTCTCTGTATAATATACGTATGATATAAATGACAGATATAATAACAGATGGTAATCGATTGTTCCAAATTGGCACACACCATTGTCATTGACCCAGGTTCCATATGGCACACATGGAACAGTATATTTTCAAGATGAAGGTCATCTGTTCTCAATATCTTGTATGGCCACCATTAGAGTCCAAAGTCACTAGTATCGTCGTCCCATGGGAACAATCAGATCCCGAATTGTGGCCTGGGAGTGTTCACCCACTGCGCCTGCAGTTCTCGTGCTTATTATCGGAGGTTTTGTGGTTGTTGCTGTCGTGCTCGCAGTCGTAGATCCAGTGCATCCCATAAATGTTCCATTGGGTTTAAATCTGGAGACCTGGAGCATCATGGCAGGGCCTGGATGTTGGGATTCATGAAAAAGGCTGTTGTCAGTCTTGCCGTGTGGGGCCGGGCGTTGTCTTGTTGGAAAATGACGTTCTCTTGTTCCATAATGGGAAGGACTTATGGCCAAAGAATCTCTGTGCCGTTAGATTCCCTTGAACTTGCACCATGTCTGTTCTACCAGTGTAGGAGATGGCTGCGCACATCATCACACTACCACCACCAAATTTGTCCACTTCATGTATCTGTATACAGTGTCATGCATAACGTTCCCCGCGACGCATGTAAACACGATGTCTACCATCCGCACGGTGAAGCATAAAACGTGACTCGTCACTAAACCAAAAATGCTTCCATCGCAGTGTGGCCATACTCTTGATACAATTGACGTCGCAAGCCGACCATGCAAGTCCGTAAAAATGACACCTCGAACTTGTCGTCTAGCGCGAATACCTTCCGTGCGTAAACGGTTCCTCACTGTCTGGGATGATATCCTACAAATTCCTTGTATTGCCGTAGTTTACAGGGGTGGCCGTAGTGGTTCTTTTACGTAAGTGACGTAGCCAAATGAATCTGTCCTGGGCTCTCGTGGTGATACGTGGTCGACCAGATATGGGTAAGTCCCGTGTGTCTGATAACGATTTTACAGTCTTGTAATAGTGCTTGGTGCTTCGTGGCAAAACCTGGCTGCAGCCGCAGATGATTCTCTTGTTTGCAGTCGGCCGATGAAGTTGTTGCGTTGGGCTTCCGTCAGTCGTCGCATGTTTTCGCTGTTCACTTGCTGTCAGATTGTTATGGCATGCAAATGATAACTCAACGTTTTTATAGCCGAATAAATGCTGTTGAACGAGCATGTCATGTCTGTGTGTTTCAGTGCCAGGCTCTCTTACATTGTTATCCTTTTGCGATTTTCTCAATCCTTTCACCAGATTTCTGCAGTCATCCTTTCCACACAAATCAATCTCAATCCATGCAGAAATGATTTGTGACATTAATTTCGTATGGATGTCGGCAATATTCGTATGTATGTCGGCAACATTCTATAAATAATTCCGCTTTTTCTACTTTAACGTTTTTTGCTTTTTTTGCAGAGTATATTGAGCGTTGCTATCAAGGTTAACATTTGTATACTCACTACAACATAGAACAACCCCACTAATTCCTATATTCATTAATTTCAGATTGTCATTCCATCTATGACGCCGTATTGGTCGTGGATGGATCAGAAAGTATTGGCCTCGAGAACTTCAAAACAATCAAAAGAGCACTTATGGAGTTCGTCAACAACACTCTGCAACCAAACAAGGACGTCCACCTTGGCGCGGTCCTTTACAGCAGCGGCGTGGAGGAGACGGTCAACTTGACCTCCGACTGGGCCATGTTAGACGACAAAATCAACGCCATGGCCTGGCCTGCTAGAGCAACGTTCACCGACAGTGGTATCGAGGCTGCGACCGCCATGCTACTTGAACAGGGCAGGAAAGTAGTTCCACGAATCCTGATTGTGGTCACAGATGGCCTGTCCTCACGACCCGACAGGACACTAGTCGCTGCAGCTGCTGCTAAACAGTCAAGTATCACTGTCTATTCTGTTGGGATTGAAGTGTATGTGAAAGCAAACTCCGAGATCCTGGCTCGATACAAGACGGAGTTGTCTACCATTGCTTCCGACGAAGGTCACGTGATCCACTTGGCAGATTTTAACGAATTTGAGAATATTGCTCCAGAGCTTGCAACGAAGTTCTGTGCAGTAATTGGTAAGTATATGAGGTGTAGTAATTATGCCAGCTTCCCATATACAATGAGATGTGAAATGTAATTCGGATAAATGAATTAACTAAACTGACGTCCAAAAGAAACTTTACCAGAGTTTGAAATCATTCTTGCTCAAAAACAACAAACCATACATGCATGAAGTAAAGTGTATTGAGAAGATCAATATATCAACATAATCCACACTGAAAATGACAATCATACCGCTACCGAAAATGACGTCAGAGCCCCCCCAAAGTTGGGTGTAGCACAAAACTCGAGCATTCAGAATCATGGACAATAGGCAGAGTACATAAACAATCGCTCACGTTCAATGTCAGGTCATTAGTAGCGTGTGTGACCACCAAATGCCTCAATACACGCCAAAAATCTTTTCGACGCACAGTAAAAGTCAGTCTTCTGATGAGGTCACGTGGGATTTGACGCCATTCTTCTTGGAGGGCCAAGATCAGTTCTTGCCGGTTGGCTGGAGGGTGTGGTCGTTGTCGAACACGACGATCCATCAAGTCCCAGAGGTGTTCTATGGGGGACATGTCGGGTGAACGTGCAGGCCACGGCAGGACGTTGACGTTGTTGGCTGCGAGGAAGTTAGTGACAATTATGGCTGTATTGGCTCTAGCGTTGTCATGCTGATAAATGACACCACGTGGCTGCTGTTGGAGAAATGGTAGGACAACTGGACGAAGAATGTTATCCATGTAACGCTGAGCTGTCAAGTTTCCGTCAACGATGACCAGCGGTGTCCTCTCCTGCCCACAGATCCCTTTCCACACCATGACACTCCCTCCACCATATGGTACGACCTCCTGCACGCAACACGCCTCCGATCGTTCACCCCTTCGGCGGTAAACACGTTGACTTCCATCAGCCCTAAACATACAGAATCGACTTTCGTCAGTGAAGACAACCCTCTGCCAGTCACGTCGTTGCCAACGTCGTACAGTCCGGGCCCATCTCAATCGCAGACGACGATGTTGCGCTGTCAATAGCTGTCCTCTGTATGGTCTAAAAGCCCTGATTCCATGAGCCCTGAGTCTCCTGGCCACTGTCTGTCGACTAACCCTGTGACTTAAGGCATTTGACGCCGATGACGTCACTGTCAGGAAGCGATTTCGGAGGTGCAAGGTACGCAAGTACCGGTCATCATGGGGCGTGGTCACCCTGGGTCTGCCTGTTCTTGGCCTGTCAGCGGTCCGCACTGTCTGTCTGTAACGTTGCATCAAGTTGGTAACGGCAACACGGGAGCAACCGAAGGTTCGTGCAATATGGGCGTGGGTGGCTCCCATCTGTACCATACCCAAGGCTCGTTCACGTTGTTCGACTGTGAGTCGTGGCATTTCTTTTGTGTTTTTTTTTATCACTGTTGATGTCTGACTTGCCGTTGCAATCGTTTTATACCCTTACCCGTACGTGCATTTGCAGTTGTCCGTGGTGCACGTGTTTTTCACTTTTTCGCGTGTTATCTGGCAAACATGTAACAGACGATTAACATTTTCTGCCTACACTATTGTTGTATTTAGGTTATGTGTTTCAGATTGACTTCATCGAAAAAACATTATACTTTGTCTGAAATTTATATTTTCAGGTGGTAAAGTTTCTTTTGAACGTCAGTTTACATGTAGGAGGTACACTGCTGCGTATATATGGACTGAGCTTTAAGAAAATATTTTCACGAAATTATAAAAGATTTTTTCGTGTGTTTTATGGTTTAACGCCTCTTTCATGTCGCGGTGTGTCAGTTTAGTAGGGGAACAAAACGCCGTGGAGAGTACTAGGTTAAAGTATATTGTCAGAAAGTAAAAGTAAACTGGTAGTCGGAATCTATTCCGGATGTAAGTTCCAGATTAGTAGTGAGTGAGTGAGTATGGTTTTACTTTACGCCGCTTTTAGCAATATTCCAGCAATATCACGGCGGGGGACACCAGAAAAGGGCTTCACACATTGTACCCATGTCGGGAATCGAACCCGGGTCTTCGGCGTGACGAGCGAACGCTTTAACTACTGGGCTACCCGACCGCCCCTCTTAATCAGTAACGCAAGTGGGTCAAGTTAAATGTATGCCTGTTGTATTGTGTCATGTTATCTTTTAAGGTTGGAAATCCAAACATTATGTTGGTTGATTATTACTCACAAAGACGGGAAATGGGTACTATCATCATCAAGGACCAGGCGATCCTGGTAGCTCAGGGGTTCACAGCGAATAACGGAATATGTGAAAGCTGCACGTTTCATTAGCATGCACGTTTCTTAACAGTTAAGAACAGTGATTTATGTGTACATCAAACGTCTTACAATAAATCCTTATGTCACATATTGTGAGGAAATATTTTATCATAATTATTTTGTATGAGGACAGTTGTCACTGAGTCATTAAAGCGTTCGTTCGTCACACCGAAGACCCGGGTTAGATTTCTGTCATGGGTACAATGTCTGAAGCCCATTTCTGGTGTCCTCCGCCGTGATATTGCAGGAATATTGCTAAACGCAGCGTAGAACCCTACTCCCTCACTGAGTCATTAAACTCGACCCGAATGTTTAAATATGGTCGAACAGATTTCGCAATTACACGAATGCAGTTCACAATGGGATCCCTATCACCACCATCATGGTACAAGTGTACATGAAACATCGAAACTAATGTGCGTGCTCATGTTTCACCTAGGTACAAAAATCTCTGTGTCAAATTTCAGCTGATATTGTGACCGGCCTCCAGAACCTGACAGTATACGTTGGAGACACGTTTACTCTGACAGCAGAGATGAGTCACGCAGCCGTGGTCGGAGGAACCTGGACTCTTAATGGCGTACCATTGTCTGACGGAGGAAGGGTCAATATATCTAACAACGGTTCACTTCAGCATCTAACCTTGAATGGAGCCGCTTTGACGGATGCAGGGGAATACGCATTCACTGTTGGCACAACAACAGCACAAGGATATGTCAGTGTTGGTTAGTTATTTAGAAACATTGAAACTCTTACCCCAGAGTTTTACTCATAATGATGGATTGATACTCTTCTTTTCAGTACACATGGACATTTTACATGTTCAAAAAAGGTGGCTTAACCATAATGTTAGGATACATGGCCACATTACAACAACTGTCTGGAACCAAGAGTCAAAACTATTACTGACTAGATATGTGACATCAATCAACAACACTCATACCTGGTTTTGGATAAAGGGCGACACCAATTCTCTAATTCGATCTAATTATTATTAGATTTGAAATACAGTAAACTACGGTTATAACGAACTCAAAGAATTTTGGTACATTATAATCGAATTTCGTTATGAGCATATACACAACATATATACAGGAAACGGACGGGTTCCCGTAAAACGGTTCGTTTTATCAGTCAGTTCATTATAGGCATGTTCGTTATAAACGTAGTTTACTGTAACATGGTACTGAAACAGTTATGCAGTTACACTTCTTATTTCAACAATACTAATGGACGGACCAGTATAGTTTCTGTTGGGGCTAGGATTTCGTATTGATCTACCGATGGCAAAACCAAAAATATGAGCGAAAAAAAAAGAAAAAGACAAAACAAAGCCATATAAAAATGTAATTTTTGCGGCAAACAATTTCTTTTCTTTCAATAATCTGGCGCATTACTAGTTTTCATAAGCATTTTGGGGGACAGTATACCATGTTCAAAAACATTCCATGCTCTAACTTGGAAAGCATAGACTAAGACACTCGTTTCCTAAAATCGATACACAAATGCACTCACTCACTAATCTTTATCTGTCCACTCTCTGCCTGTGTAACCTACAACAACAACGGCCTCATGGTATTTATTTTTGTGTCTCCGTATCACTCATCAACCCGATATAAGAACTCTGCAGAATCATTGTGAACGAGTGAGGGCAAGGAGCTGTCACAAGGAATGCATAGAAACACAATTACCAAAACTATTTTTAAATATGAGTTGTTGTTTTTCCCAAAGGCACAGTGATTTTCTTGCAGACGCAACCACCATCACACAAGGTCTTACAGATCAAACTGTCTCTCAGGGTACACAGGTGGTATTTCAAGTCACCTTAAGTCAGACAGGCATCACAGGTGATTGGTTCAAGGATGGTGTCAGTATAACCGGTGATTCAAGATATCAGACCCAATCTGCTGGAAATACCCAGTACATGTTCTTCACCAATTCTCAAGTATCCGACTCTGGAACATATACGTTCACTGCCAATGGCCAATCTACTTCAGCCCGGTTGACAGTAACAGGTAATCCTTTTTATTCATGTTACTTTTTAGTAAAAACATGTCTGAGGATAGTTGTTTATTAATGTGAATGTGCGCCATTTCACTTTAGTTGTAAATAGTTGATCTCATGATATATCACGCATACAACTTATCACAACTTGAATCTCGGATTGTAACTCTATGGTGGACACATTATATTGTAGGAATGAGATATGTTATTTATTCAGGTTCAGGTGCAGTGAACGGAAACTGGGGCGAGTGGACACAGTGGAGTGGTCCCACCTGTCCTGCAACATGTGGTTCTGCAGCCATAAACAATCTCTCCAGAAGCAGGTCCTGTGATAATCCAGCTCCAAGTAACGGTGGCACTTCCTGTACCGGAGAAGCGAGTCAGAGCGAGAGCCGAATGTGTGGACCATCTACATGTGGTATGTGTACTGGAAACTACGTTGTGAAACTCCGAAACATTTCTGTGTGTTTTTATGCCTGTACTTGTTCTGTAGACGCCAACAGAGAAATTGTTTAATAATCGTGATTTATGCCGCTACCTACCCTCAGTAAGCAAGCATATATGAGTGGGGAGTTAACTGTCTTTTACAAAGTAACGATGTCATTTTTATGTGATATCATGATAGAAATAGGCCCCCTTCATTGTCCTCACATGGTGATTCGAACTTAAGCCCATGTCTAAACGAATGCAACAGAGCAACTAGAGCAACAATGTGTTTGGATTTAAAAGTTCCTATTACTTCCAACATTTACATCTGCCATTTATCAAACCTTGTACATCCAACAAAGATAAAAATCAATACAATTGATGCGTCTAAAATATTTCAGATTTACATACAAACATTACACATCATCTGTGAGAATTATTCCAAGTTTAACTGGTGCATTGTGTTCTAAGGCCTTCTTTATCTCATGTGTTATTGATGAACGTTTCAGTTCACTTATACTGCAGTTAGAATTCATGAATGGTTTAAAAGGAACACGAATGGAATAGAACCATCTGTAGACAAGTTGAAGCAAAAAAGAGAAACCAACAAAAAAAACCCTCTATTTTCAATGGCTGTGAATAGGGATTAAAAAGACATGCTTCATGTATCATTACAAATACTGATCAGCGCAATATTGACATATGTAACTGGTGTGAGAGTTTGAATTAATCGGAACGGGGTTCTGTACACTTACATCTATAGATTGGATCTAAATCAGTAAAGAATATCCCTACCAGTTGAACGTTCACTCAGTATTTGTGAATACGATCAGTTCATTTGGATGAGTATTTGTAGGCAAAAGGTAAACGGTATACCACCAAATCAATTAATAAGGAAGATAACGACAAATATGAACTTGGCTATGTTAAAACTTGATCATCTTCTTGACTTGGAATGTTATTATCTAAGATAGATTATAAACAAGTTGTCTTTTTTCTTGTAGACTCCACCATCACAGGAGGTCTTACAGATCAAACTGTCTCTCAGGGTACACAGGTGGTATTTCAAGTCACCTTAAGTCAGACAGGCATCACAGGTGATTGGTTCAAGGATGGTGTCAATATTACCGGTGATTCACGATTTCAGACCCAATCTTCTGGAAATACCCAGTACATGTTCTTCACCAATTCTCAAGTATCCGACTCTGGAACATATACGTTCACTGCCAATGGCCAATCTACTTCAGCCCAGTTGACGGTTACAGGTAATCCTTTTTATTCATGTTACTTTTTAGTAAAAACATGTCTGAGGATAGTTCTTTATAAATGTGAATGTGCTCCATTTGAATTTAGTTGTAAATAGTTGATCTCATGATATATCACGCATACATTTGGCAACTGATCACAACTTGAATCTCGGATAGTAACTCTATGGTGGACACATTATATTGTAGGAATGAGATATGTTATTTATTCAGGTTCAGGTGCAGTGAACGGAAACTGGGGCGAGTGGACACAGTGGAGTGGTCCCACCTGTCCTGCAACATGTGGTTCTGCAGCCATAAACAATCTCTCCAGAAGCAGGTCCTGTGATAACCCAGCTCCAAGTAACGGTGGCACTTCCTGTACCGGAGAAGCAAGTCAGAGCGAGAGCCGAATGTGTGGACCATCTACATGTGGTATGTGTACTGGAAACTACGTTGTGAAACTCCGAAACATTTCTGTGTGTTTTTATGCTTGTACTTGTTCTGTAGACGCCAACAGTCAATTTGTTTAATAATCGTGATTTATACCGCTACCTACCCTCAGTAAGCAAGCATGCATGAGTGGGGAGTTAACTGTCTTTTACAAAGTAACGATGTCATTTTTATGTGATATCATGATAGAAATAGGCCCCCTTCATTGTCCTCACATGGTGATTCGAACTTAAGCCCATGTCTAAACGAATGCAACAGAGCAACTAGAGCAACAATGTGTTTGGATTTAAAAGTTCCTATTACTTCCAACAGTTACATCTGCCATTTATCAAACCTTGTACATCCAACAAAGATAAAAATCAATACAATTGATGCGTCTAAAATATTTCAGATTTACATACAAACATTACACATCATCTGTGAGAATTATTCCAAGTTTAACTGGTGCATTGTGTTCTAAGGCCTTCTTTATCTCAAGTGTTATTGATGAACGTTTCAGTTCACTTCAACTGCAGTTAGAATTCATGAATGGTTTAAAAGGAACACGAATGGAATAGAACCATCTGTAGACAAGTTGAAGCAAAAAAGAGAAACCAACAAAAAAAACCCTCTATTTTCAATGGCTGTGAATGGGGATCAAAAAGACATGCTTCATGTATCATTACAAATACTGATCAGCGCAATATTGACATATGTAACTGGTGTGAGAGTTTGAATTAATCGGAACGGGGTTCTGTACACTTACATCTATAGATTGGATCTAAATCAGTAAAGTATATTCCTACCAGTTGAACGTTCACTCAGTATTTGTGAATACGATCAGTTCATTTGGATGAGTATTTGTAGGCAAAAGGTAAACGGTATACCACCAAATCAATTAATAAGGAAGATTACGACAAATATGAACTTGTCTATGTTAAAACTTGATCATCTTCTTGACTTGGACTGTTATTATCTAAGATAGATTATAAACAAGTTGTCTTTTTTCTTGTAGACTCCACCATCACAGGAGGTCTTACAGATCAAACTGTCTCTCAGGGTACACAGGTGGTATTTCAAGTCACCTTAAGTCAGACAGGCATCACAGGTGATTGGTTCAAGGATGGTGTCAATATAACCGGTGATTCACGATTTCAGACCCAATCTTCTGGAAATACCCAGTACATGTTCTTCACCAATTCTCAAGTATCCGACTCTGGAACATATACGTTCACTGCCAATGGCCAATCTACCTCAGCCCAGTTGACGGTTACAGGTAATCCTTTTTATTCATGTTACTTTTTAGTAAAAACATGTCTGAGGATAGTTCTTTATAAATGTGAATGTGCTCCATTTGAATTTAGTTGTAAATAGTTGATCTCATGATATATCACGCATACATTTGGCAACTGATCACAACTTGAATCTCGGATAGTAACTCTATGGTGGACACATTATATTGTAGGAATGAGATATGTTATTTATTCAGGTTCAGGTGCAGTGAACGGAAACTGGGGCGAGTGGACACAGTGGAGTGGTCCAACCTGTCCTGCAACATGTGGTTCTGCAGCCGTAAACAATCTCTCCAGAAGCAGGTCCTGTGATAACCCAGCTCCAAGTAACGGTGGCACTTCCTGTACCGGAGAAGCAAGTCAGAGCGAGAGCCGAATGTGTGGACCATCTACATGTGGTATGTGTACTGGAAACTACGTTGTGAAACTCCGAAACATTTCTGTGTGTTTTTATGCTTGTACTTGTTCTGTAGACGCCAACAGTCAATTTGTTTAATAATCGTGATTTATACCGCTACCTACCCTCAGTAAGCAAGCATGCATGAGTGGGGAGTTAATTGTCTTTTACAAAGTAACGATGTCATTTTTATGTGATATCATGATAGAAATAGGCCCCCTTCATTGTCCTCACATGGTGATTCGAACTTAAGCCCATGTCTAAACGAATGCAACAGAGCAACTAGAGCAACAATGTGTTTGGATTTAAAAGTTCATATTACTTCCAACAGTTACATCTGCCATTTATCAAACCTTGTACATCCAACAAAGATAAAAATCAATACAATTGATGCGTCTAAAATATTTCAGATTTACATACAAACATTACACATCATCTGTGAGAATTATTCCAAGTTTAACTGGTGCATTGTGTTCTAAGGCCTTCTTTATCTCAAGTGTTATTGATGAACGCTTTAGTTCACTTCAACTGCAGTTAGAATTCATGAATGGTCTAAAAGGAACACGAATGGAATAGAACCATCTGTAGACAAGTTGAAGCAAAAAAGAGAAACCAACAAAAAAAACCCTCTATTTTCAATGGCTGTGAATGGGGATCAAAAAGACATGCTTCAAGTATCATTACAAATACTGATCAGCGCAATATTGACATATGTAACTGGTGTGAGAGTTTGAATTAATCGGAACGGGGTTCTGTACACTTACATCTATAGATTGGATCTAAATCAGTAAAGTATATTCCTACCAGTTGAACGTTCACTCAGTATTTGTGAATACGATCAGTTCATTTGGATGAGTATTTGTAGGCAAAAGGTAAACGGTATACCACCAAATCAATTAATAAGGAAGATTACGACAAATATGAACTTGTCTATGTTAAAACTTGATCACCTTCTTGACTTGGACTGTTATTATCTAAGATAGATTATAAACAAGTTGTCTTTTTTCTTGTAGACTCCACCATCACAGGAGGTCTTACAGATCAAACTGTCTCTCAGGGTACACAGGTGGTATTTCAAGTCACCTTAAGTCAGACAGGCATCACAGGTGATTGGTTCAAGGATGGTGTCAATATAACCGGTGATTCACGATTTCAGACCCAATCTTCTGGAAATACCCAGTACATGTTCTTCACCAATTCTCAAGTATCCGACTCTGGAACATATACGTTCACTGCCAATGGCCAATCTACCTCAGCCCAGTTGACGGTTACAGGTAATCCTTTTTATTCATGTTACTTTTTAGTAAAAACATGTCTGAGGATAGTTCTTTATAAATGTGAATGTGCTCCATTTGAATTTAGTTGTAAATAGTTGATCTCATGATATATCACGCATACATTTGGCAACTGATCACAACTTGAATCTCGGATAGTAACTCTATGGTGGACACATTATATTGTAGGAATGAGATATGTTATTTATTCAGGTTCAGGTGCAGTGAACGGAAACTGGGGCGAGTGGACACAGTGGAGTGGTCCAACCTGTCCTGCAACATGTGGTTCTGCAGCCGTAAACAATCTCTCCAGAAGCAGGTCCTGTGATAACCCAGCTCCAAGTAACGGTGGCACTTCCTGTACCGGAGAAGCAAGTCAGAGCGAGAGCCGAATGTGTGGACCATCTACATGTGGTATGTGTACTGGAAACTACGTTGTGAAACTCCGAAACATTTCTGTGTGTTTTTATGCTTGTACTTGTTCTGTAGACGCCAACAGTCAATTTGTTTAATAATCGTGATTTATACCGCTACCTACCCTCAGTAAGCAAGCATGCATGAGTGGGGAGTTAATTGTCTTTTACAAAGTAACGATGTCATTTTTATGTGATATCATGATAGAAATAGGCCCCCTTCATTGTCCTCACATGGTGATTCGAACTTAAGCCCATGTCTAAACGAATGCAACAGAGCAACTAGAGCAACAATGTGTTTGGATTTAAAAGTTCATATTACTTCCAACAGTTACATCTGCCATTTATCAAACCTTGTACATCCAACAAAGATAAAAATCAATACAATTGATGCGTCTAAAATATTTCAGATTTACATACAAACATTACACATCATCTGTGAGAATTATTCCAAGTTTAACTGGTGCATTGTGTTCTAAGGCCTTCTTTATCTCAAGTGTTATTGATGAACGCTTTAGTTCACTTCAACTGCAGTTAGAATTCATGAATGGTCTAAAAGGAACACGAATGGAATAGAACCATCTGTAGACAAGTTGAAGCAAAAAAGAGAAACCAACAAAAAAAACCCTCTATTTTCAATGGCTGTGAATGGGGATCAAAAAGACATGCTTCAAGTATCATTACAAATACTGATCAGCGCAATATTGACATATGTAACTGGTGTGAGAGTTTGAATTAATCGGAACGGGGTTCTGTACACTTACATCTATAGATTGGATCTAAATCAGTAAAGTATATTCCTACCAGTTGAACGTTCACTCAGTATTTGTGAATACGATCAGTTCATTTGGATGAGTATTTGTAGGCAAAAGGTAAACGGTATACCACCAAATCAATTAATAAGGAAGATTACGACAAATATGAACTTGTCTATGTTAAAACTTGATCACCTTCTTGACTTGGACTGTTATTATCTAAGATAGATTATAAACAAGTTGTCTTTTTTCTTGTAGACTCCACCATCACAGGAGGTCTTACAGATCAAACTGTCTCTCAGGGTACACAGGTGGTATTTCAAGTCACCTTAAGTCAGACAGGCATCACAGGTGATTGGTTCAAGGATGGTGTCAATATAACCGGTGATTCACGATTTCAGACCCAATCTTCTGGAAATACCCAGTACATGTTCTTCACCAATTCTCAAGTATCCGACTCTGGAACATATACGTTCACTGCCAATGGCCAATCTACCTCAGCCCAGTTGACGGTTACAGGTAATCCTTTTTATTCATGTTACTTTTTAGTAAAACATGTCTGAGGATAGTTCTTTATAAATGTGAATGTGCTCCATTTGAATTTAGTTGTAAATAGTTGATCTCATGATATATCACGCATACATTTGGCAACTGATCACAACTTGAATCTCGGATAGTAACTCTATGGTGGACACATTATATTGTAGGAATGAGATATGTTATTTATTCAGGTTCAGGTGCAGTGAACGGAAACTGGGGCGAGTGGACACAGTGGAGTGGTCCAACCTGTCCCGCAACATGTGGTTCTGCAGCCGTAAACAATCTCTCCAGAAGCAGGTCCTGTGATAACCCAGCTCCAAGTAACGGTGGCACTTCCTGTACCGGAGAAGCGAGTCAGAGCGAGAGCCGAATGTGTGGACCATCTACATGTGGTATGTGTACTGGAAACTACGTTGTGAAACTCCGAAACATGTCTGTGTGTTTTTATGCTTGTACTTGGACTGTAGACGCCAACAGAGAAATTGTTTAATAATCGTGATTTATGCCGCTACCTACCCTCAGTAAGCAAGCATATATGAGTGGGGAGTTAACTGTCTTTTACAAAGTAACGATGTCATTTTTATGTGATATCATGATAGAAATAGGCCCCCTTCATTGTCCTCACATGGTGATTCGAACTTAAGCCCATGTCTAAACGAATGCAACAGAGCAACTAGAGCAACAATGTGTTTGGATTTAAAAGTTCATATTACTTCCAACAGTTACATCTGCCATTTATCAAACCTTGTACGTCCAACAAAGATAAAAATCAATACAATTGATGCGTCTAAAATATTTCAGATTTACATACAAACATTACACATCATCTGTGAGAATTATTCCAAGTTTAACTGGTGCATTGTGTTCTAAGGCCTTCTTTATCTCAAGTGTTATTGATGAACGTTTCAGTTCACTTCAACTGCAGTTAGAATTCATGAATGGTTTAAAAGGAACACGAATGGAATAGAACCATCTGTAGACAAGTTGAAGCAAAAAAGAGAAACCAACAAAAAAACCTCTATTTTCAATGGCTGTGAATGGGGATCAAAAAGACATGCTTCATGTATCATTACAAATACTGATCAGCGCAATATTGACATATGTAACTGGTGTGAGAGTTTGAATTAATCGGAACGGGGTTCTGTACACTTACATCTATAGATTGGATCTAAATCAGTAAAGTATATTCCTACCAGTTGAACGTTCACTCAGTATTTGTGAATACGATCAGTTCATTTGGATGAGTATTTGTAGGCAAAAGGTAAACGGTATACCACCAAATCAATTAATAAGGAAGATTACGACAAATATGAACTTGTCTATGTTAAAACTTGATCATCTTCTTGACTTGGACTGTTATTATCTAAGATAGATTATAAACAAGTTGTCTTTTTTCTTGTAGACTCCACCATCACAGGAGGTCTTACAGATCAAACTGTCTCTCAGGGTACACAGGTGGTATTTCAAGTCACCTTAAGTCAGACAGGCATCACAGGTGATTGGTTCAAGGATGGTGTCAATATAACCGGTGATTCACGATTTCAGACCCAATCTTCTGGAAATACCCAGTACATGTTCTTCACCAATTCTCAAGTATCCGACTCTGGAACATATACGTTCACTGCCAATGGCCAATCTACCTCAGCCCAGTTGACGGTTACAGGTAATCCTTTTTATTCATGTTACTTTTTAGTAAAAACATGTCTGAGGATAGTTCTTTATAAATGTGAATGTGCTCCATTTGAATTTAGTTGTAAATAGTTGATCTCATGATATATCACGCATACATTTGGCAACTGATCACAACTTGAATCTCGGATAGTAACTCTATGGTGGACACATTATATTGTAGGAATGAGATATGTTATTTATTCAGGTTCAGGTGCAGTGAACGGAAACTGGGGCGAGTGGACACAGTGGAGTGGTCCAACCTGTCCTGCAACATGTGGTTCTGCAGCCATAAACAATCTCTCCAGAAGCAGGTCCTGTGATAACCCAGCTCCAAGTAACGGTGGCACTTCCTGTACCGGAGAAGCAAGTCAGAGCGAGAGCCGAATGTGTGGACCATCTACATGTGGTATGTGTACTGGAAACTACGTTGTGAAACTCCGAAACATTTCTGTGTGTTTTTATGCTTGTACTTGTTCTGTAGACGCCAACAGTCAATTTGTTTAATACTCGTGATTTATACCGCTACCTACCCTCAGTAAGCAAGCATGCATGAGTGGGGAGTTAATTGTCTTTTACAAAGTAACGATGTCATTTTTATGTGATATCATGATAGAAATAGGCCCCCTTCATTGTCCTCACATGGTGATTCGAACTTAAGCCCATGTCTAAACGAATGCAACAGAGCAACTAGAGCAACAATGTGTTTGGATTTAAAAGTTCATATTACTTCCAACAGTAACATCTGCCATTTATCAAACCTTGTACATCCAACAAAGATAAAAATCAATACAATTGATGCGTCTAAAATATTTCAGATTTACATACAAACATTACACATCATCTGTGAGAATTATTCCAAGTTTAACTGGTGCATTGTGTTCTAAGGCCTTCTTTATCTCAAGTGTTATTGATGAACGCTTTAGTTCACTTCAACTGCAGTTAGAATTCATGAATGGTTTAAAAGGAACACGAATGGAATAGAACCATCTGTAGACAAGTTGAAGCAAAAAAGAGAAACCAACAAAAAAACCCCTCTATTTTCAATGGCTGTGAATGGGGATCAAAAAGACATGCTTCATGTATCATTACAAATACTGATCAGCGCAATATTGACATATGTAACTGGTGTGAGAGTTTGAATTAATCGGAACGGGGTTCTGTACACTTACATCTATAGATTGGATCTAAATCAGTAAAGTATATTCCTACCAGTTGAACGTTCACTCAGTATTTGTGAATACGATCAGTTCATTTGGATGAGTATTTGTAGGCAAAAGGTAAACGGTAAACCACCAAATCAATTAATAAGGAAGATTACGACAAATATGAACTTGTCTATGTTAAAACTTGATCACCTTCTTGACTTGGACTGTTATTATCTAAGATAGATTATAAACAAGTTGTCTTTTTTCTTGTAGACTCCACCATCACAGGAGGTCTTACAGATCAAACTGTCTCTCAGGGTACACAGGTGGTATTTCAAGTCACCTTAAGTCAGACAGGCATCACAGGTGATTGGTTCAAGGATGGTGTCAATATAACCGGTGATTCACGATTTCAGACCCAATCTTCTGGAAATACCCAGTACATGTTCTTCACCAATTCTCAAGTATCCGACTCTGGAACATATACGTTCACTGCCAATGGCCAATCTACCTCAGCCCAGTTGACGGTTACAGGTAATCCTTTTTATTCATGTTACTTTTTAGTAAAAACATGTCTGAGGATAGTTCTTTATAAATGTGAATGTGCTCCATTTGAATTTAGTTGTAAATAGTTGATCTCATGATATATCACGCATACATTTGGCAACTGATCACAACTTGAATCTCGGATAGTAACTCTATGGTGGACACATTATATTGTAGGAATGAGATATGTTATTTATTCAGGTTCAGGTGCAGTGAACGGAAACTGGGGCGAGTGGACACAGTGGAGTGGTCCAACCTGTCCTGCAACATGTGGTTCTGCAGCCGTAAACAATCTCTCCAGAAGCAGGTCCTGTGATAACCCAGCTCCAAGTAACGGTGGCACTTCCTGTACCGGAGAAGCAAGTCAGAGCGAGAGCCGAATGTGTGGACCATCTACATGTGGTATGTGTACTGGAAACTACGTTGTGAAACTCCGAAACATTTCTGTGTGTTTTTATGCTTGTACTTGTTCTGTAGACGCCAACAGTCAATTTGTTTAATAATCGTGATTTATACCGCTACCTACCCTCAGTAAGCAAGCATGCATGAGTGGGGAGTTAATTGTCTTTTACAAAGTAACGATGTCATTTTTATGTGATATCATGATAGAAATAGGCCCCCTTCATTGTCCTCACATGGTGATTCGAACTTAAGCCCATGTCTAAACGAATGCAACAGAGCAACTAGAGCAACAATGTGTTTGGATTTAAAAGTTCATATTACTTCCAACAGTTACATCTGCCATTTATCAAACCTTGTACATCCAACAAAGATAAAAATCAATACAATTGATGCGTCTAAAATATTTCAGATTTACATACAAACATTACACTTCATCTGTGAGAATTGTTCCAAGTTTAACTGGTGCATTGTGTTCTAAGGCCTTCTTTATCTCAAGTGTTATTGATGAACGCTTTAGTTCACTTCAACTGCAGTTAGAATTCATGAATGGTTTAAAAGGAACACGAATGGAATAGAACCATCTGTAGACAAGTTGAAGCAAAAAAGAGAAACCAACAAAAAAAACCCTCTATTTTCAATGGCTGTGAATGGGGATCAAAAAGATTTGCTTCAAGTATCATTACAAATACTGATCAGCGCAATATTGACATATGTAACTGGTGTGAGAGTTTGAATTAATCGGAACGGGGTTCTGTACACTTACATCTATAGATTGGATCTAAATCAGTAAAGTATATTCCTACCAGTTGAACGTTCACTCAGTATTTGTGAATACGATCAGTTCATTTGGATGAGTATTTGTAGGCAAAAGGTAAACGGTATACCACCAAATCAATTAATAAGGAAGATTACGACAAATATGAACTTGTCTATGTTAAAACTTGATCACCTTCTTGACTTGGACTGTTATTATCTAAGATAGATTATAAACAAGTTGTCTTTTTTCTTGTAGACTCCACCATCACAGGAGGTCTTACAGATCAAACTGTCTCTCAGGGTACACAGGTGGTATTTCAAGTCACCTTAAGTCAGACAGGCATCACAGGTGATTGGTTCAAGGATGGTGTCAATATAACCGGTGATTCACGATTTCAGACCCAATCTTCTGGAAATACCCAGTACATGTTCTTCACCAATTCTCAAGTATCCGACTCTGGAACATATACGTTCACTGCCAATGGCCAATCTACCTCAGCCCAGTTGACGGTTACAGGTAATCCTTTTTATTCATGTTACTTTTTAGTAAAAACATGTCTGAGGATAGTTGTTTATAAATGTGAATGTGCTCCATTTGAATTTAGTTGTAAATAGTTGATCTCATGATATATCACGCATACATTTGGCAACTGATCACAACTTGAATCTCGGATAGTAACTCTATGGTGGACACATTATATTGTAGGAATGAGATATGTTATTTATTCAGGTTCAGGTGCAGTGAACGGAAACTGGGGCGAGTGGACACAGTGGAGTGGTCCAACCTGTCCCGCAACATGTGGTTCTGCAGCCGTAAACAATCTCTCCAGAAGCAGGTCCTGTGATAACCCAGCTCCAAGTAACGGTGGCACTTCCTGTACCGGAGAAGCGAGTCAGAGCGAGAGCCGAATGTGTGGACCATCTACATGTGGTATGTGTACTGGAAACTACGTTGTGAAACTCCGAAACATGTCTGTGTGTTTTTATGCTTGTACTTGGACTGTAGACGCCAACAGAGAAATTGTTTAATACTCGTGATTTATGCCGCTACCTACCCTCAGTAAGCAAGCATATATGAGTGGGGAGTTAACTGTCTTTTACAAAGTAACGATGTCATTTTTATGTGATATCATGATAGAAATAGGCCCCCTTCATTGTCCTCACATGGTGATTCGAACTTAAGCCCATGTCTAAACGAATGCAACAGAGCAACTAGAGCAACAATGTGTTTGGATTTAAAAGTTCATATTACTTCCAACAGTTATATCTGCCATTTATCAAACCTTGTACATCCAACAAAGAAAAGAATCAATACAATTGATGCATCTAAAATATTTCAGATTTACATACAAACATTACACTTCATCTGTGAGAATTATTCCAAGTTTAACTGGTGCATTGTGTTCTAAGGCCTTCTTTATCTCAAGTGTTATTGATGAACGTTTTAGTTCACTTATAATGCGGTTAGAATTCATGAATGGTTTAAAAGGAACACGAATGGAATAGAACCATCTGTAGATAAGTTGAAGCAAAAACGTGAAACCCACAAATACCCTCTATTTTCAATTGCTGTGAATGGGGATCAAAAAGAAATGCTTCATATATCATTACAAATACTGATCAGCGCAATATTAACATATGTAATTGGTTTGAGAGTTTTAATTAGTTGGAACGGGGTTCTGTACACTTTCAACTATAGATGGGTTCTAAATCAATCAAGTATATCCCTACCAGTTAAACGTTCACTCAGTATTTGTGAATATGATCAGTTCATTTGGATGAGTATTTCTTGACTTGGACTGATATTACCTGAGATAGATTATAAACAAGTTGTCTTTTTTCTTGTAGACACAATCACCATCACAGGAGGTCTTACAGATCAAACTGTCTCTCAGGGTACACAGGTGGTATTTCAAGTCACCTTAAGTCAGACAGGCATCACAGGTGATTGGTTCAAGGATGGTGTCAGTATAACCGGTGATTCAAGATATCAGACCCAATCTTCTGGAAATATCCAGTACATGTTCTTCAATTCTCAAGTATCCGACTCTGGAACATATATGTTCACTGCCAATGGCCAATCTACTTCAGCCCAGTTGACGGTTACAGGTAATCCAGTTTTTTTTCTTTTACTTTGTGGTAAAAACGTCTGAGGATAGTTGTTTATTAATGTGAATGTGCTCCATTTGAATTTAGTTGTAAATAGTTGATCTCATGATATATCACGCATACATTTGGCAACTGATCACAACTTGAATCTCGGATTGTAACTCTATGGTGGACACATTATATTGTAGGAATGAGATATGTTATTTATTCAGGTTCAGATGCAGTGAACGGAAACTGGGGCGAGTGGACACAGTGGAGTGGTCCAACCTGTCCTGCAACATGTGGTTCTGCAGCTATAAACAATCTCTCCAGAAGCAGGTCCTGTGATAACCCAGCTCCAAGTAACGGTGGCACTTCCTGTACCGGAGAAGCAAGTCAGAGCGAGAGCCGAATGTGTGGACCATCTACATGTGGTATGTGTACTGGAAACTACGTTGTGAAACTCCGAAACATATCTGTGTGTTTTTATGCCTGTACTTGTTCTGTAGACGCCAACAGTCAATTTGTTTAATAATCGTGAATTATACCGCTACCTACCCTCAGTAAGAAAGCATACATGAGTGGGGAGTTAATTGTCTTTAACAAAGTAACGATGTCATTTTGATGTGATATCATGATAAAAATAGGCCCCATTCATTGTCCTCACAGTTTAAACGAATGCAATAGAGCAACTAGAGCAACAATGTGTTTGGATTTAAAAGTTCATATTACTTCCAACAGTAACATCTGCCATTTATCAAACCTTGTACATCCAACACAGAAAAAAATCAATACAATTGATGCATCTAAAATATTTCAGATTTACGTACAAACATTACACTTCATCTGTGAGAATTATTCTAAGTTTAACTGGTGCATTGTGTTCTAAGGCCTTCTTTACCTCAAGTGTTATTGATGAACGTTTTAGTTCACTTATAATGCAGTTAGAATTCATGAATGGTTTAAAAGGAACACGAATGGAATAGAACCATCTGTAGACAAGTTGAAGCAAAAAAGAGAAACCCCCCCAAAACCCTCTATTTTCAATGGCTGTGAATGGGGATAAAAAGGAAATGCTTCATATATCATTACAAATACTGATAAGCGCAATATTGACATATGTAACTGGTGTGAGAGTTTAAATTAATTGGAATGTGGTTCTGTACACTTTCAACTATAGATGGGTTCTAAATCAATAAAGTATATTCCTACCAGTTGAACGTTCACTCAGTATTTGTGGATATGATCAGTTCATTTGGATGAGCATTTGTAGACGAAAATACATTGATATACTAACAAATCATAAAATAAGGGAGATAACGACAAATAAGAACTTGTCTATGTTAAAACCTGATCATCTTCTTGACTTGGACTGTTATTGTCTATGATAGATTACAAACAAGTTATCTTTTTTCTTGTAGACACAACCACCATCACACAAGGTCTTACAGATCAAACTGTCTCTCAGGGTATACAGGTGGTATTCCAAGTCACCTTAAGTCAGACAGGCATCACAGGTGATTGGTTCAAGGATGGTGTCAGTATAACCGGCGATTCAAGATATCAGACCCAATCTTCTGGAAATATCCAGTACATGTACTTCAATTCTCAAGTATCCGACTCTGGAACATATATGTTCACTGCCAATGGCCAATCTACTTCAGCCCAGTTGACGGTTACAGGTAATCCAGTTTTTTTCTTTTACTTTGTGGTAAAAACGTCTGAGGATAGTTGTTTATTAATGTGAATGTGCTCCATTTGAATTTAGTTGTAAATAGTTGATCTCATGATATATCACGCATACATTTGGCAACTGATCACAACTTGAATCTCGGATTGTAACTCTATGGTGGACACATTATATTGTAGGAATGAGATATGTTATCTATTCAGGTTCAGGTGCAGTGAACGGAAACTGGGGCGAGTGGACACAGTGGAGTGGTCCAACCTGTCCTGCAACATGTGGTTCTGCAGCTATAAACAATCTCTCCAGAAGCAGGTCCTGTGATAACCCAGCTCCAAGTAACGGTGGCACTTCCTGTACCGGAGAAGCAAGTCAGAGCGAGAGCCGAATGTGTGGACCATCTACATGTGGTATGTGTACTGGAAACTACGTTGTGAAACTCCGAAACATTTCTGTGTGTTTTTATGCCTGTACTTGTTCTTTAGACGATAACAGAGAAGTTGTTAAACAATAACTTGTTATACTGCTACCTACCCTTAGTGATCAATCATGCATGCCTACACAAAGTGTATGGGGGCATAAGCCTCTTTAATGAAATAACCATACACCATTGACACCATGAGATGATATAGTACTAGAATTAGTAGGTTCTATTAATTACCCTCAAGTCCATGTCAGCGATGACCAAGAGCATGCTGAGCAACAATTTAATGTGAAATTTCGTGATCAATCCATTCCATTTTCTCATGAATAAGGATTACAGACATTGTAATTCTGTAGTGAAAATCAGTAAAGTTATTACCAAAAAATATTTTAGATTACAATTTACATCACCCGCGATACTGGCGAAATCGCATTGTTTCTTTTTTTCACTTAGGTCATTGTTAAAACTGCAATAGAGTATGCTTTTTAGTGAAATATTCCATTAATACGACAAGCAGTTTTATGCTTTACGCTTGTTTGACGTGTTAGTCAATATTAGTGATTTGTGGACCACGTGCTTGCTGGTTCGTAGGGGGTTGCAGATGTGGAAGTGGTCCCAAATGTTTGACTGATTAAAACTTTAAAACAGAACAGAACGATCTCACCGGCAGCACTGCACATGCATAAAATTGAAAATAGAAAATAGCTTTCATAATTTCTATTTTATATTTATTACCAAACATTTTTTTGACCGAGGACAACAAATATAAATGTCAGTTATTAACATTAAATCATAAACACTAACAGTGTAACAATAACTGATGCAATATTCCATTTGATGGATGTATGTTTATATTTCCAAACAAAATATGGGAAGTACAATACACTTCCGGAATCATTATCACACAGGGAAAAAACAATCTTTGTTGTTCCATCGAAACACCATCTCATCAAGATGAACAGCTACAATGTAGATGTTTCAATAGGACACCGTTGATTAATTTGACCCTTGCCTCAGAAAACGGTCTATAGTCCTTCAGTGGAGTTCGTATGGTCCTCAGTTTTCGGGTTCATATAACCTCTTTTGGGTTTACAAATATGATAATCATACCTACATAATAAAGTTTTTAATTTGGACTATTGGTGGACAAAGTTGAAAAATCAAATGATTTGACAGAATTGAACTTTGTTCGTTTCGTTTCTGCAGAAAGCCAAGCATTTCCTTTGAGAATCCATATAATATAAATTGCACTTGTCTCAAATTTTTCGCTTTGACAATATAGAAGTCCTTCCTTGACTGTATTAAGGATTATTGTTAATCTTTGAGATAGGGATTTGGTGTTACGTTTTAAATATCTCTCTCACGTTACAGATAGTACAAGTTAAAAGCCGATATGGAACATCACTGCTATAGTGACATAATTTCATTTTCAGCCAGCTGGCCTTCCCGAAAACCGAGTCTCACATATTACCTGATTTGTTCCTCTTGTCCTTGTGCCATGACACGGAATTACTACATTTATCACTGGTCATTGTTGAGGCTATCCCAAAGGTGTCTTCAAAGTCATTACAGATTGCACCTATCTGAATTAAGTCAAAGTTGATGTTCTTTCAGTAAATAGAACGTCAAGTAACTATCAGCTATTTGGTTCAGAGGGAATATCCCAACAAAGGTTACTCCTTCAAACTTTCTCACAATTAGAATCTTAAATCCTCCACGGAAATTAATTCCAAACTGGTTCCGAGTCATCATGAAATGTTACATCTGGTAGAAAGTGCAGTGTTGATATACTGTGTTGCTTTATTGAATTGTTGCACAAACTCGTCACTACCATAAGCCCATTATGGCAATAACATCACAACACAATTGCAATCTCGTTTTATGTTAACAAAATTGTTTCCTAAAAGCATGTTCTCAATTAAATATGTTCACAGTCACGGAGATCTTCATCACACAACGTCTTGCAAACCAAACAGTATCTCTGGGTGCACAGGTGACGTAAGAAAGATTATAAACAAGTTGTCATTTTTGTTGTAGACACAACCACCTTCACACAAGGTCTTACAGATCAAACTATCTCTCAGGGTACACAGGTGGTATTCCAAGTCACTTTAAGTCAGGGAGGCGTCACAGGTGAATGGTTCAAGGACGGTGTCAAGATAACCGGTGAATCCAGATATCAGTCCTATCAGACTGGCAACTCTGTCTATCTTCTATTTACCAATTCTCAAGTTTCGGATTCGGGAAGGTATACATTCACTGTGAATGGACAATCAACATCAGCACAATTGACAGTAACTGGTAAGTTATGTGCTACTTATATTTTTAAACGTTGCCTACATAAAAATGATGCTCATACCGAAAATAGATTGTACCGTATTCGACGTAATAAGCGCCCCGCTCTAATAAACGCCCACGGCGATATTTGTTAATATATTGGCGAGTGAACAATCCCAATTAGCACTCCTTCCGATTGATCAATGTACACAAGACTTATTTATTCGCGTACAGTACACACTCGTGTGTTACATGCAACCTTAATTGTGGGCAATTAATTTCTAGAAAATATATCTGTAGTATATGAACATTTCAGACTGTCAGCATAAACCACGAAATTTATCTTTCAACTGTGTTTTTTCACCAAAATAATATTCTGATAAGAGCCACATGGTTCTAATTTTGAGAGTGCCCTTGGCGCTTATTACGTTGAATACGGTATTAGAATTAATTTAATTCATTCAACATCCCATGATAACAAGCCATCCCTGTCGGTGTAACAGCTGTGCGGGTAGCTATCCTTTGACTGACTGAGTCTGGAATGTACACTTCCACTGCCGTCAGTCCCGTTGATGTTTATAAGTATTTGATTTTACTCTAATTGCATTGCATTGCATTGCATTGCATTGCATTGCATTGCATTGCATTACATTACATTGCGTAAAATATTGCTTTGGTCTTGACATTAATTCATAAAGCAGTGTAAAAACAACTATCACTATTTATAATTAGACCTGAATTGAAAATAGAATCATAATGGACAAATGTTACTAATGTCAGTATTAATAGTTACTAGTAATACTCAATATTCAGGACCAGTACATATATTGCTATTTATTCGGGTTCAGGTGTTGTGAACGGAAATAGAATCTATAATGGACAAATGTTACTATTAATACTCAATATTCAGGACCAGTACATATATTGCTATTTATTCAGGTTCAGGTGCAGTGAACGGAAACTGGGGCGGGTGGTCACAGTGGAGTGGCCCGACTTGTCCTGCAACATGTGGTTCTGCAGCAAGACGCACTGTCACCAGGCGCAGGTTCTGTAATAACCCAGCCCCCACTAACGGTGGCACTTCCTGTCCTGAAGAGGCAAGTCAAAGTGAAAGCCGAATGTGTGGACCATCTACATGTGGTATGTTTTATGTTTTATGTTTTATGTGTTTGTCCGTTTGCTATTGTGTTCTGGAAATCAATGCCTCTCTTTCGACATCTCCATTAACCACAAACCTGACATCAATGTGATAGCTGTGAAGAGCGCCACCCTGATGGGTCGTCGTTCATCAGCAACTTAGAATATGGATGGTGTATAATCCGTATACACCGTTCACTCATTTGAAAGAACTATTTTGTATAACACCGTTAAGTTTAACTGTCTCCCTTCATAAATACAGTAAACTACGGTTATAACGAACTCAAAGGGACTACTAATTTTAGTTCGTTATAACCGTAGTTCGTTATAAGCATATATACAGCATAACTACAGCATATAGTCGGGACCAAAAAGTAAGTTCGTTATATCCGTCAGTTCGTTATAAGCGTGTTCGTTATAACCGTAGTTTACTGTAGTTTTGACATTTACCACATTGGTGAAACCCACGAGAACGGGTATGGTACTGACAACCTAGAAACATAATCAGGGCAAACCGGGATTAGTATAAAAATCATAGGTTTCTGGCGTGCCCACGGGACACGACTCTGCACAGAGAAAGTCATATACCGTATTCGACGTAATAAGCGCCCAGGGCGCTCTCAAAATTAGAAATAGGGGGCTCTTATTAGAATATTATTTTGATGGAAAAAAGAGAGTTGAATGATAAATTTCGTGGTTAATGCTGACACACTGAAATGTTTATATGCGACAGATACATTTTTCCAGAATTTAACTGCCCATAATTAAGAATGTATATAACACACGAGTGCGTATTATACGCGAAAAAATAAGTCTTGTGTACATTGATCAATCGGTAGGAGTGCTAATTGGGATTGTTCACTAGCCAATATCTTAGCAAATATTGCCGTGGGCGCATATTAGAGCGGGTCGCTTATTACGTCGAATACGGTAAATATACCCCGTTACATGTATAGAAACATGCATGTAAATACAGTATTTTATCTTCAAGATATCGGTTTCACCACTGAACTCCGTGATACAAGAGCCCGACTCGGTGGTGACTTCACCCTGACTGCCGTCGTCAACAGGACTGGTCTAGGTGATGGACAGTGGACGAAGGGGGGACAGGTGCTCACCACGAATGACAGGATGACCATTGGTTCAGATGGAGCAGGGACATATACACTGAGAGTAAGAGGAACGGAGACCACAGATCAAGGACGATATACATTCAGTGCAGGAGGCAAATCTACTGGATGCAGAGTTACAGTTATTGGTAAGTCATGGGTCAACAATCCCAGTGTAAGTTTTTGGTCGGCTTTGTCACTACAATTGTCATGCACAGTATCACTAGTCGAATCAATGTAAGCAGCAAATCATTTCAGCGCACACTATCAGGCTGGGTCAACAAATCCAGCTTAGTTTGGGTCGACAAATTCAATAACGAGTGTCAGTTATAACATGAAGGTAAATATATTATTGGTAAGTAAGCATTGATTGTAATTAAATTAATATAACATAGAATGAGACGTTGGTACATGTACGGGATTTGGTTGGTTGGTTGGTTGGTTTGTTGTTTAACGCCGCACTCAACAATATTCCAGCTATATGACGGCGGTCTGTAAATAATCGAGCCTGGACCAGACAATCCAGTGATTAATATCATGAGCATCGATCCACGCAATTGGGATCGATGACATGCATTAACCAAATCAGCGAGTCTGACCACCCGATCCCGTTAGTCACCTTTTACGGCAAGCATGTGTTGCTGAAGACCTATTCTACCCCGGAATCTTCACGGGTCTGTACGGGATTTGGGAATCTCCACATGCGTCTATTTTGACTGATGCGAAAAACTACCATCCTCTTTTGACAATCACTATTAGTTCCAAAGATATACATATTAATGGTTATTTGGGATGATTATCCAAAGTTTACCATGATCATCGGCGTGTTTGCGATTCATATACCACATCATTGTATTTCCTAGTTCCTTGCGTCCTTGCCTTTGATGAAGAGTATTCACAATTCAATGCGTTTAGTGAGTTTGGTTTTACGCCGCTTTTAGCAATATTCCAGCAACATCACGGCGGGGGAAACCAAAAATGGACTTCACACGTTGTACCCATGTCGGGAATCGAATCCGGGTCTTCTGCGTATTAGAAAAGGCAACTGTTATTGTACGAATGGATTATATGTTCATAATGCCCACTTCAAACATTCTCCATTATATTGCTGATTCCAGATTACCACACTGAGTCACTCACTCACTCACTTCTCACTCACACATGTTCATAATTTCAGATTGTCATTCCATCTATGACGCCGTATTGGTCGTTGATGGATCAGAAAGTATTGGCCTCGAGAACTTCAAAACAATCAAAAGAGCACTTATGGAGTTCGTCAACAACACTTTGCAACCAAACAAGGACGTCCACCTTGGCGTGGTCCTTTACAGCAGCGGCGTGGAGGAGACGGTCAACATGACCTCCGACTGGGCCATGTTAGACGACAGAATCAACGCCATGGCCTGGCCTGCTAGAGCAACATTCACCCACAGTGGTATCGAGGCTGCGACCGCCATGCTACTTGAACAGGGCAGGAAAGTAGTTCCACGAATCCTGATTGTGGTCACAGATGGCCTGTCCACACGACCCGACAGGACACTAGTCGCTGCAGCTGCTGCTAAACAGTCAAGTATCACTGTCTATTCTGTTGGGATTGAAGTGTATGTGAAAGCAAACTCCGTGATCCTGGCTCGATATAAGACGGAGTTGTCTACCATTGCATCCGACGAAGGTCACGTGATCCACTTGGCAGATTTTAACGAATTTGAGAACATTGCTCCAGAGCTTGCAACGAAGTTCTGTGCAGTAGTTGGTAAGTATATGAGTTATAGTAATTATGCCAGCTTCACATATACAATGATATCTGAAATGTAATTACTACATGTTGGAGGTACAGAAAGATTTATACGCGAAATTAAAAAGATTTTGTGAGTGTTTTATGGTTTAACGCCTCTTTCAAAGTCACGGTGTGTCAGTTTAATATGGAACACACTGTGGAGAGTAGGGTAAAGACGTGTACCAAATGGCGGCTAGAAAGTTTCTTATACATATATATTTCTTCACGTAAGTATATTGGTAAGTAAGTAAAAGTTAACTAGCGGACGGATGGAGCAGTTATCTAGGGCGCCGCAATTCGCGGTGAAGAGTTGCGTCCCTTAGTCGTGCCAGGAGGCAATGATCGTGGGTTGGAATCATAGACCTGCCCTGATAACGTTTCCATGTTTGCCTGCACCATCTCCATGCTCATGGTTTTCAAAGTAATAAACGTTTACTACCTGTATGACGCCAGTCTTTTCTCCACTTGAAGCTGACAGGCCGTGTTATTACTGAAATAGCGTCGTTGAACTAAAATCACCCACTCTCTCAATGCTGTCACTATCATCAATACATTGTCAAATATAGCACCCTGTTGTGCTCAATCTAACCCTGTGCTGCTGACCTTTCAGCTGACGTTGTGACCGGCCCCCAGAACCTGACAGTATACGTAGGGGACACGTTCACGCTGACAGCACAGATGAGTCACGCAGCCGTGGTCGGAGGAACCTGGACTCTAAATGGCGTACCGTTGTCTGACGGAGGAAGGGTCAGTTTTTCCCAAAATGGCTCTTTGCTGCATCTGACGATCCAAGAAGTAACCGCTGCGGACGCCGGTCGATACAGCTACAGTGTTGGTGGGAAAACGGCACATGGCTATGTTTCGGTTCTAGGTAGGCTGTTTCAGGTATTAATGTCCCAAACGTTCCACCTGTGTATACAGCTATGTCATCCTCGGTGTGTCCACCTGCATTAATTACATGCTGTTGATGTTGATACAACATGACCAAACACGTAATGTAACTCTAAGTATATGGCAAATGCACTAAAACATTTACGTCCGACATACAAAGGAACGACAACGGTTTAATCAGAAACTCCAGACGCACCGTTCCCATTGAAATACACTGGATGGCGGAATCAAAGACAATGATGTCCCTTGCATTTTATAAATGGACGATTTACACATTTTTCCTCTGGACAAAGAGGGTGTCACAATATTTCAAATTCATAAACTGACAAGAGGGAACCGCTCTTGTCTTATTGAGTTATTGTGTCTGACCTGGGTTTGATGTACAGTAAACTACGGTTATAACGAACTCGAAGGGACCACTAATTTTAATTCGTAATAATTGTAGTTCGTTATAAGCACATATACAGCACTTATACAACAATAGATCGGGACAAAAAATATGTTCGTTACATCGGTCAGTTCGTCATAAGCGTATTCGTTATAAACGTAGTTTACTGTAAGATGTTTCGTCAAAGCGGTAAACAGCTAGGACATGCGTCAAGTTAGGCGTTCCTCCTCCATTAATCTTACCCTTAATGACGAATGTATAAATAGGATATTGTTCAGAATAAAGAACTAGAGAATTACGCATTGTACATACATACATAAACTCAAAAACGTGACTGTGAATTCCATTCTCCTTGTGGGGACCGTGATATGGCGGAGTAATGCCAAACGTGCCGTAAAACCGAATTCGCTCACTGCTCTTCTTGAAAAGGTCTTACTGGGGCATGTGGAGCCCACACTCCATCGTGTCCTTAAAGTGAACTGTTTGGTATGCAGGTACAAGTCTCCAGCCATTTTATGTTGTTTTTTTTGTTTTTGTTTTTTTACAGCTTCTTGGGGTCCGTGGGGCGACTGGGTATCCTCAGCTTGTACTGCTACGTGTGGGTTAAGCGTCACACAGACCTTGAGGCGAGCACGACAGTGTCGCCAGGCGACCGGACCGACCTGTGTTGGTGATGCGACAGATGAAGATGTTCGTGCCTGCAGCGTCACCAACTGCTACGGTAACTAAGAAGTCAACACCTTATCATTTATGATATCTTCGTTTCATCTAGGGTCACATTGTTTTTATCAGTTCCATCCATAAAGGGACATATCCTTTTTCTTTAATTTTCTTCCAATTGATAAGATACAATCCCTTGATGGTACGGTACATTTTGAGAGGGATAAAATGCGATCAAATGCCTCATAACAATACGAAATAGCGTCTTGCTACAAATCATTTGGTAACATATTAAACCAACGTATGTGCGTGTGCGGAAAACGTGAAAAAAATGGATTCGAAGCCGGAAATCTCAAGGATTTGTCACTGCGATAAGATCTATATGAATGTCATAAATATGTTGCCTTTAACGCCATAGCGAATATTTATTCGGCAGATAATCGAGACTGATTATTCTCTGACGTTGATGTGTGGAATTTATAGAATTGTCGAATTGCCTGCAAACCAGAAAGCACATTATATTTATCTACTAAATATGCCACCACAATGCTGGCAAATATACAGTTAAGGAAAACACAATACGAACTAGATGTAATATTCATGGACGTGATCTTACAAGCCGTGAATGTTCTTACATCAATGATGCGTAAAGACCCTCTCGATGTGATATGTCTGGGATAATTGAAAATCGTCGTGAAAACGCACTGGAATCCGAGGTAAATTGTACCCAGAGTGTTCCTTGTTTTTAAAAATGTACCATCCGATATAAAGTTATATCTTGCTATCCAGGCATGTGGTCCGACTGGGGCAAGTGGAGCACGCCATCGTGTCCCATCTGTGGCCAGTCTGGTACTCAGGTTCAAGTCTACAGAACCCGCACGTGCATCAAGGAACGGGCAACTGATGAAGCATGCACTGGATCCACTTATGTGTCAAGCGGCTATGCGTGCACCCTGAATCAATGCACAGGTATGATCGACACTTTACTACCGTCTACACTTCACTACTGTCTACATTTCACTACTGTTTACACTTCACTACTGTCTACACTTTACTACTTTTTACACTTTACTACTCTTAACATTTCACTACTGCCTACACTTTACTACTGTCTACACTTTACTACTGTCTACATTTCACTATTGTCTACACTTTACTACTGTTTACACTTTACTACTGTTAACATTTCACTACTGCCTACACTTTACTACTGTCTACACTTCTCTACTGTCTACATTTCACTACTGCCTACACTTTACTACTGTTTACACTTTACTACTGTTAACATTTCACTACTGTTTACATTTCACTATTGTTTACACTTTACTACTGTCTACATTTCACTACTGTCTACACTTTACTACTGTCTACACTTTACTACTGTCTACATTTCACTACTGTCTACACTTTACTACTGTCTACACTTTACTACTGTTAACATTTCACTACTGCCTACACTTTACTACTGTCTACACTTCTCTACTGTCTACATTTCACTACTGTTTACACTTTACTACTGTCTACACTTTACTACTGTCTACATTTCACTACTGTCTACACTTTACTACTGTCTACACTTCACTACTGTCTACACTTTACTACTGTCTACACTTTACTACTGTTAACATTTCACTACTGCCTACACTTTACTACTGTCTACACTTCTCTACTGTCTACATTTCACTACTGTTTACACTTTACTACTGTCTACACTTTACTACTGTCTACATTTCACTACTGTCTACACTTTACTACTGTCTACACTTCACTACTGTCTACACTTTACTACGGTCTACACTTTACTACTGTCTACATTTCACTACTGTCTACACTTCACTACTGTTTACACTTTACTACTGTCTACACTTTACTACTGTTTACATTTTACTACTGTCTACACTTCACTACTGTCTACACTTTACTACTGTCTACATTTCACTACTGTCTACACTTCACTACTGTTTACACTTTACTACTGTCTACACTTTACTACTGTCTACACTTTACTACTGTTTACATTTACTACGGTCTACACGTCACTACTGTCTACACTTTACTACTGTCTACATTTTACTACTGTCTACACTTCACTACTGTTTACATTTTACTACTGTCTACACTTTACTACTGTCTACACTTTACTACTGTCTACATTTCACTACTGTCTACACTTCACTACTGTCTACACTTCACTACTGTCTACACTTTACTAATGTTTACACTTCACTACTATCTACTCTTCACTACTGTTTACACTTCACTATTACATACATATTACTATTGTCTACACCTCACCACTGTCGTGTATTGTTATAATACTTTGAGTTGTATTGACACACATATGTCCACTTCCCAGTTTAATTCCTGAGGCGTTTTACTCGATCATCTTCGCTTGCACCTTTCCGGCAATGCTTTATCAAGAATTAGTTTATTTGAAACTGTACTTGCATTTGGTTATATCTTTATTCGTCGAGATTCGAGTAACAACGGATCATCTGGTCCCTTTCAAAGCTCAATTTGATCATCTATTAAATGTGGCAATGTGGTGACATGACAACTGTCCTTCTCCCCCAGGCAACCAAAATCCATCAGCGTCAGATCGGGTCAGAGGAACATTCCTGGTCATTGCTGCCGGGGTGGCCGTCGGTCTAACATTGTTGTAGCTGCAGCCACGAGACATCCACCTTCATCAATCAACACATTCTGAACACAAAAAGACAGCAGACTAGAAAAATGGGGGAGAATAAGTGTATGTGTTTGTGGTGTGAGCGAGATAGAGAGAGCGTGTGTGTGTGTGTGTGTGTGTGTGTGTGTGTGTGTGTGTGTGTGTGTGTGTGTGTGTGTGTGTGTGTGTGTGTGTGTGTGTGTGTGTGTGTGTGTGTGTGCGTGTGTTTGTTTGTTTGTCTGTAGAAACTTTCTACAAGTCTTCTTTTGCAGTATATTAAATTTTATTTATTAAGTAGACGCTTGATCGAGGATAGTTTTAAACTTATAGGCAGCTCTGGCTATTTCAGGCGAGTGCGATGTTAATTGAACATATATGTTCTGCATTTGTGTCGAGAATTTGTCTTCTTTAAACGTAGTATGCTAAATCATTAAAAGGATCGTTATAATATCAAATTCCAGCTATATCACAACGTTAATCCTTATGTTCCACGCTGAGTATTAATGAATCTTCCCGTGTCCACATACCAGTTAGAAGGCATCAATCATTCCATGGAAAACTACGATCGTTGTTAGTTGTTATAGCATGTTAGCAGTAACTAGAAGCGATTAATGAGAAATATGTACCACAATCTTAACCAGTAGACGGTTTGCGTTGCAAATCTAAGGGCCTTATTTCAATTCTACACCAAGACGTATATATCACATGTACTTCCAACATACGTATCATATATGCGTGTATGTTTTCAGACATTTGTAAATCGCACTAGATGTATGGATTCATTTTGATGTAATAAAGGTATATTACAAAACGAGATGTGACCTTGACCTGTATTTGTATCATAAATAAGCCATTTCACATTTTTAAGTTGACACTGTCGTCATAGTATGGAATATATGTGGCATTGTGCACTCGAAGACTGCTTTCTCACACAATACAAGATTCTAATATAGTTGAAACTAAGTTAAAGAACACCCACAATAAAAGGCTGTGTGTTGCAATACCCACCAGCTATGACAGACTAACTATTGTCATGAAAACATCGGGGGTTCTTTAACATTGTTTTAGTAACATATATCATTATTTATAGATACGGCGTGCACCTAGCAGCTGGTGTGATGTTTAGACATTAATGTCCTGGATATCCAGTGGGTAAATGTGGTAACGTGGTGCAATATCGACGTATCACTCCAGCCTGACAGAGCGTTATAAACCCCTGTCAGACAAACGGATTGAGCTGATTGGGTCTCCAATATCACCCCAGCCTGACGGAGCATTACCAAAAAATGTCAGACAGTCAGACTGACCTGATTTGGTCTCCAATATCACCCCAGCATGACAGAGCGTTATAAACCCCTCTCAGACAGTCAGACTGACCTGATTGGGTCTCCAATATCACCCCAGCATGACAGAGCGTTATAAACCCCTCTCAGACAGTCAGACTGACCTGATTGGGTCTCCAATATCACCCCAGTATGACAGAGCGTTATAAACCCCTGTCAGACAGTCAGACTGACCTGATTGGGTCTCCAATATCACCCCAGCATGACAGAGCGTTATAAACCCCTCTCAGACAGTCAGACTGACCTGATTGGGTCTCCAATATCACCCCAGTATGACAGAGCGTTATAAACCCCTGTCAGACAGTCAGACTGACCTGATTGGGTCTCCAATATCACCCCAGCATGACAGAGCGTTATAAACCCCTCTCAGACAGTCAGACTGACCTGATTGGGTCTCCAATATCACCCCAGTATGACATAGCGTTATAAACCCCTGTCAGACAGTCAGACTGACCTGATTGGGTCTCCAATATCACCCCAGCATGACAGAGCGTTATAAACCTCTGTCAGACAGTCAGACTGACCTGATTGGGTCTCCAATATCACCCCAGTATGACATAGCGTTATAAACCCCTGTCAGACAGTCAGACTGACCTGATTGGGTCTCCAATATCACCCCAGTATGACAGAGCGTTATAAACCCCTGTCAGACAGTCAGACTGACCTGATTGGGTCTCCAATATCACCCCAGCATGACAGAGCGTTATAAACCCCTCTCAGACAGTCAGACTGACCTGATTGGGTCTCCAATATCACCCCAGTATGACATAGCGTTATAAACCCCTGTCAGACAGTCAGACTGACCTGATTGGGTCTCCAATATCACCCCAACCTGACAGAGCGTTATAAACCCCTGTCAGACAGTCAGACTGACCTGATTGGGTCTCCAATATCACCCCAGCATGACGGAGCATTACCAAAAAATGTCAGACAGTCAGACTGACCTGATTGGGTCTCCAATATCACCCCAGTATGACATAGCGTTATAAACCCCTGTCAGACAGTCAGACTGACCTTATTGGGTCTCCAATATCACCCCAGCATGACAGAGCGTTATAAACCCCTCTCAGACAGTCAGACTGACCTGATTGGGTCTCCAATATCACCCCAGTATGACATAGCGTTATAAACCCCTGTCAGACAGTCAGACTGACCTGATTGGGTCTCCAATATCACCACAGCCTGACTGAGCATTACAAAAAACTGTCAGACTCAGACTGACCTGATTGGGTCTCCAATATCACCCCAGCATGACAGAGCGTTATAAACCCCTCTCAGACAGTCAGACTGATCTGATTGGGTCTCCAATATCACCCCAACCTGACAGAGCGTTATAAACCCCTCCCAGACAGTCAGACTGACCTGATTGGGTCTCCAATATCACCCCAACCTGACAGAGCGTTATAAACCCCTCTCAGACAGTCAGACTGACCTGATTGGGTCTCCAATATCACCCCAGTCTGACAGAGCGTTATAAACCCCTCTCAGAAAGTCAGACTGACCTGATTGGGTCTCCAATATCACCCCAACCTGTTGCCTCTGCATATCACTGTCATGAATTCACTCGTAATGAACAAGCAACATTTAATTTGTATGTACTTTCAAGTGTTTATCAGTAGAACATTCTGTAGATTTTTATGGTTACGTCAAATCAAGAAGCGACGTCAATCCGTATTCATCACCTCACTAGAATACTTTCAGAAATGACATTATAACCGCCATTTTACCTCTATCGTTATCGTTGGAAAGGAGAGCCTTTGAACGCTGTGAACCCACAGTTCATTTTAATCTGCTAGACAGCATTATTTCCAGACTGGGAGTGTTGCAAAGTCTATCTTCAATCCTGTAACTAGAGTGTCATGTAGAAAGTTCAGTTTTGGTAAGAACCAGCGGATACTTATGGTTCGGTCGTCCTATGTGCCGCAGTTCGCTGTGCATAGTTACAACAAGTGAGCCAGAATTCGAATAACAGATTCGCTCTGACTATATGTCTTGGTTTAGTAGGACCAAACCGTGCTCGTAGGTTTCACCACCATCTAATCCTTGCATCTTCTAGGGCCTTTCCGAACATCAGTCTGACACGCCATAATATAAATAATATATACTCAATGTCAAAAGAAACGCAAACCCAAAGTATAGATGTCGGCACCTGAAATGTACTGCTGGTGCATTCTGTGCACTGACACAGGTCTGTGGTGGATTCCAACTGTCTGTCGGGCAGAAGTGAACGCTGGTAGTTAGCGTTGACACAAGTGAGAACGGGCGATAGCCCTCTCTTGCAGTAACGACGTCACACGTGGGCGTCCGCTTCTAGGTCAACCATGCGCACTGTTTGTCAATACGACGGTAGATCTTAGTGGGGTGAACCTGTAGACCTCTCGCTACTCGCGTTGCCTTCACATCAGGTTCAATCATGCCAAGTACACTATGACGACTGTTTATTTCTAATCCGGGCATGGTGCATTCCGTGTCAGTCAAAGATATGATGGACGTTTGTTGCCCCGTTGACGCCGTGATATAACTGGAATACTGTTCAAAGCGGCGTTAAACCCAACTCACTCACTCACTCACTCACTCACGCACGCGCGCACGCACTTGTTGCCCCGTTTCGCGTTTCTGGGTACCTTTAACAACCAATAGTCAATATTTCACATTAAAACGTTGTTCTCAGGACATGCCCACAAAGACACGTTCTGACTAGTCGGTCTCATGAATATGAAGAGTCTATAGTTTCAATGTTCAGTGTTTGAATGAATCCAAAAACGATGAGGGGCATTTTTCTACACCTGTTTTTCGATCAATATGTGCCTTTTGTTGTGCAAATCAATAAGTGTTATTGGATAATATTGAGATCGGAGGTTGCACTAAGAGATTTCCTTGGGAACATAGTATATGTATCTGAAATACCCTTCAAAGTCACGTTCACTGACTGTTCATAATCAATACTGACCAGGCGATTTTATGTCACTTCTCTGAAGCGCACGACAATCCTTTCGGAGGACGGCGCAAATGTAGATATCTGTATATAGTGAAGCCTTCTGGATGTTTTCTCGCCTTTGGGAGACTCATACGCAGTATGCCCCGTCGAGTGAATGAATATTTGATACATCGTGGCGGTATTGCGCACTACTGATCCATAAACGTCAAGTTCGAAATCTTCCATCTTTCCCACACCGTCCTTCAAGATCAATGGCGGTCATAACATCGATTGTCATACTTCACTACCGGTTGCAATGGGTTCCCAATTCGTTTATTATTACCATACAACTATTACTAAAATAGTTGATTAATTACTTAAGTGATATTATTACAAATGTCTCGTGTTTCAAATAATAACCGATTCGTATGTTCATAAACTGCTGTTTTGAATATAAAGAACAATAATGTGTATGTCATTACTTTTACAAAACTAGTTTCCATTCATAGGACTCATGGCACCCAAGTAGAAAGACTCGGCCATTGCACTGTTAGTCGCCAGCAGGTAGCTGAGTGTTGCAGTTAGAGATTTCGATCTTTAGCCATTGAATAAGATAATTGTGACTGTGTTTTGTGATCTGTTTGATGCATCACAAAAAGGAAAGTGTGACTGTGTATTGTGGTCTGTTTGATGTGGTCCGTTTGTCAATATGATCTCAGGCGGCATTGTTATGGTATTTATTTATTTATTTATTTATTTAAGTATACAAAGCTTCACGTTAATTATTTCCGCATAATAATAACGTTTTGTCATGGTGAAAGAGGTACTACCTAGCTTCCTGCTTTTTGAATTGTCAAATGTCCTTTAAATAGATATTAGGTTTGCCACACCTTAATAATCAAATCTCTATTTTGGTGAAAACATGTACATGTAACATGTAATTTCAAGTTACAAATGCAGCACAGCAGATAAGTACCATATAATGTACTCATTCATGTGAATTCCTGTTTCCTGTCGAATGAAATCTGAACCGAGCTTTGAATATTAGTGAATAGCCCAAGTGGGCAAATAACTGGCACCTCCGAGAAACTCGGATGATACATTGGTTTTAAACATGTATTCCGTATGTATTTAGAAATAATTCCTTGTAACCTGTATTTGTTGCAAGAGGTGACTAAATGAATCGTTAGTCAGGCTTGATGGCTTGGCTGATTGCACGTCATTGTACCCCAACGGCTCTGAACGTTGCTTATATGGAAAGGGAAAGGGTTATGACGCTGTTAAATATTAGTATTCTAATGCATAAACGCAACACAAAGCAAATATTTCAATACCACCACGGTGATGTGTGTAAAAGTATGATAATATCCATGGAGGTCAGTTTGTGACCTCACAGATTGTATGTTATGGCACCCGATGGCGTTGATTGTTGTTCTGCAATGAGTTGCTATTTACAGGCTGCCATGATGTACCTTCACTATTGCTAAGTTCATACTTTACGTTTCAGTCTACAAATTGAAGATCTACTGGTATTGTTATATAAATGTTTTAAGT